GGAGGGGGAGGTAAGAGAATGGGGAGAAGAAGATATGTATGTGTATGTGTGTGCGCGCGAGTGTGTGTGTAAGGAGGAAGAAAAGAAAACAAGAGACGAGATGGAGGATGGTGACGATATTAACCGAGCGCATAGACTAGGTAGAGAGGCATTTGCCTAGCACCGAAGATGACCAGAACAAGGTACGGTCGGCACGGTGCTTCCTATCTCTCTCTCTCCCTCTCTCTTCCTCTCTCGGCTCTTACCACGGTACTCTCAGTCTCAGTCCGGACGGCTACCTAGGTAGGTAAAGCAGAAGGTGTGGTATGGCGGGGTATCACCGCCGGCCAGTTGCGGTCTTCTTGCCCGTATGCGGCGTCAATGCCTCTCAGCCAATGAGCAAATGTACCTGAGCTCGTTCGCCTTCGGAATTGGAGACTAAGGTAGGAGGGGGAGCTCAGCAAAGTCACGCAAAACAAGACGCTAGGGCTGCCGGGAGGGAAGCTCCCCCCTTCGGTCAAGGTACGGTGTTTCCTTGGCACGCATGTACTCTGCGTTAAAGGACCGTCATTCGGAGCAGGTCTCTTCTTGAGCCATTTACGGCAAACACGAACCCATCAACCCATCTCGGGGTACTTGGTTGGACAACTACGGATGCAACAACCTTGCTGACTTTAGCTGCAGGAGCTCGAGGCAGGCAGGACTGACGAAACGACAACACCTGCAAAAAGGGGGCCAAAAGCATCAGGTGTAACGGCACCAAAAGGAATCATCCTGTCGCCCAGGCGACCCAGAAGCTCGTCTCCATTGCTCCAGTACTGCACAAGGGAGAGAAGAAAAAAAGGAAAAAGATCACATAAAAATGGTCTCTGGGGAACAGCTCGAGAAGGCTGCGGGGCAGGTATCTCCGGACCAGCTCCACGCGGAGAAGGTACATGACGGAACAGACCTCGCAGAAAGATACATGCCATGTACGGAGTACTTAGTACCTAGCGGTTGAGCTGCCAAATGGCGGCCACAGCAACATGGGAATGTTTGGCAGCGCCCGAACCGGATAGCTTCGGCGGGGACAGCTCGAGGCGCTAGCGGGGGTTTGAGTTAGCGCCCAGCCGTCGAGGGCCGCCCATCACGATCCTCGAGGATCCAGACCAATGTCCGATACTGGGAATGCCCACTTCTCTCGACTTCTCGATCGCGATGCACGCAGCCAGCCAGTCAATGGCCTCCCTTCCCCCTTGCCCCTTCCTGCGCGTATTTGTTTTGTAGCGTTCCGTATTGTGTAACTCGGGGGGGTTTTTTTTTTTTTTCTTTTTTTTTTTTTTTTTGAGCGGTGACCCGGGTTTGACGTTGCATGCCGGCATGGCCAGACTCGGGTGTGCCAGGGGGGGAGACGGACATTCGGTACTGGTCCGTCGTAACGGCCTTTTCGATAACTGTCTACGTTGTCACATCGTCATGGCCATCTCTCAACGGTTTGGGAGCTTAAAGATTGTCTCCTCTTTTTCGTCTTCTTTTTTCTTATCTTGCCCTCCTTCTTATTTCATTTTTCTCATCTTTTCTCCTTATCTATTTCTTCTTCGTTCAAGGTCCTGACTGGGATTCTGTAGACCATCGTATTAGACTTTCTCAAAGGACTCATCGTGTCTTGACGACTCGTTGGTTGGTCTAGTTAATTCTGTAGCATGGCCTAACTCGCCATCTGTGCAACGATCGGCGCAAATGCCGACTCATGTCCAAGTGTGTTGGCCGCGCCTGGTTGGTCTGGTGTGGTATAGCATGGTCTGATCTTGATTCTGCGATACCAAGCAAGAGAGGCTCTAACAGTTGATTTTAATTTTAATTCCGTTGGAGAGAGTTTGCTTGCAAGGGGGGGGGGGGGGGGGGGGGGCTAGAATCAAAAGAGCTCCCATCCTGGCAAGTCGCGTGACGTCACCAAGCTCCATCCCACATCAGCTCTAGCGATCGCCTTGCTGCGCAGACACGGACGCGGTTTCATGCCCCTCCTTCCTTCTCTGCTGCTTCCCTGTCGTACCTGTCTCTTTTCGGCCGGGACGACAGCAGCTCCTGCCTCCAACTCTCCAAACTCTCCAACTCGGGCAGCTACACTTACTCTCACTTTCACCCCTCCCCTTACTGCCCCCGCCACGGCTGTCTCTGATTTTCATCACCCATCATATCGCACACACACACTCTTGTTCCTTTCTTCCCCTTCCAGCACAAGATCAGCCGCGTTCCTGAGTGGCCGCACCTCCGACTCATGCCCAATTGGCTTTGCGTGCCTGAACATCACCCGCCGCAACGGGCTACCACATTCTCCCCCATTTCCCTCTGTGCCAGAGTGACCGTGCTGCCAAAAAACAAACACGCATGCATATGTGAGGCGTATTCCCACTTCTCTATACCCGACTGGGCCACGTTCTCGCCAGGCAGTGCTGGATACGACGGAACCGACACCGCTTTTTCCCTTGCCATGTCAACCTCTTCCCGCCATGACGTACCTCATGCAAGAATCTATTAGTGCTCATCTCCATGCCCCTGTACTCCTAGAGAGCTAGGTCGCTAGCGAGCTAGCTTTAATTGAGCCGCTTTGCGCGATGGCTATTATGGTGTGACTAGACGGGCCACCACGGCCGTTCGGTCATCGCGTCAGCCAGAGTATTCTGTTAGTCTCTTTTGAAATCATATGAACTAGTCTGTCGCTTGATGATTCTGAGAGGGGTTTAGTAACTGGCGGCATCTCGACGATTGAGAACCCGTTCCATATTACACGAGCAGCTCACCCTCATTTTGATTTAACGGTATTGTATCAGCTAAACCTAACGCATAGAACGTATGCAGCAACCAGATTTCAATGTGTGTGGGACGATGATCCTAGATCTGCAAAGGCAATTCGAGCTTGGGAATGGTTGATCCACCCCAGAAGGAACACCATCGTCAGGAGCATAACTACAACTCTGAGCAATGAGAGGCCTCCCGTGTCAAATTACCTTGTTGTCAAACATTAGCGTCGCTTAACAAGGTTTCTGAGATAGCCATACAAACTGCTATCTACCTCGCTAGAGCAAGCGAAGCTCTCGCCAATGTCCCTCAGCACGTATCACATCGCCGTGTGCAGTGAGTCGGTCGATTCATCTCGAGGGGCTTTCCGGTCATGGAAATTCATCTTACAATTTGCACAAAACTTCTCGCCTACCACACATTGCTGACATCGGACGCGATGCACCCCTGGGTGGCAGGCTGCTTACCGCAGCAAAACAGGTTCCTCGCTGGGCAACTTCATTGATGAACTGGTCCATGCAGAGTTGTGCTATTTAAATGGTAACTTCTTCAAGTATTGAACCAACATACGCGTTAAAGGGTTGTCTATCAAACCTACGAAGTACGAGCTCCTACATTTCTCATAATTGGACAAAATCTATGCTATGCTCATTGAGGCGAGATAGGAGAGCCCGAATGACAGCTCTAATCCACTTGCCCTTCGATGTCCGAATGTCCGCTGCTAGGGTTTGGGGATATTGTCTTCGTATTGCACATCACATAAGACGCGGAACTTATCAGCTCGACATTCTTGCAGGACCGGCCATATAAGAACTCCCCTCAATCTCCAGGACATACAAGCGTGCAGGAGGTAAAGTCATAACTCTCTATAAATGCCATATATTGAAGTGTAAGAAGCATGGTGACGAATCACCCGTAACTGAAGTAGACCCCGAGCGGCATGCTCTCGGCTCAGTAAAGTCTCTGTTGTTCGTGTTTGGCGAGACATCGCATCATCTACTGTGCTTCTCGTTTCTGAGCTTGGGAAACAGGTGACAAGCAAGTCAGAGAAGAACTTCGCTCACCCAACGGAGGGATGAGCAGTCGGGATGTACGTAGCATCCCCAATTGCCCTCCCCACCCCCCCTCGGCTTGCCTGCAGCTCTGACGCGGCACTAGGAGCGCAATGCCGGTTCACAACGTCTCGGTTTCGGCGTAGCACATCCCGAACATTCTGCACTCTGTGGGCGGGCCGTTCCGCGCTGCTAACAGCGCGTGCCCTCTCCGGCAAAACGCATCAACTAGCTCTCCTTACCAAGGCGTGAGAGAGCCCAACGACTGAGTACTTCAGTCGAATGTTTCAGGCGCAAAATCTTCGCGGAAGAGGTGTTGTTGGGCTAAACGATCGTTGTTGCCGTTGAGATTCAGCAACCTCGGAAAAGGCTACTTGGCTGAACATCGCACTGCGAGTTTGAAAACAGCCTGCCATAGGACGAACGACACAACAGCGCCAAATAAGTCGTACCCCAGAAAAAGCAGTCGTAGCTCCGCAAGTATAGAAGGGTGACCCCCAGATCGAGCGTTTGTCACGTAGCACTCTACATACTGTGCCCCCCATCCCGTAGGTAATGGCCGGAGGGGATGTGGCGTGGATGAACAGTCACATCCCGGCGTCTAGCTACATCTTGATCCAACTTATGTACCTTGCACCGGCAGCAGCCTGCGTGGTTGACCACAGCCTCGGATCATTAATGCATGCCATCTGTAGCTGCGATACTTGAGCGGATGAGCCCATGATCCATCGTGCATGCCATAGACTGCGATTCTCCGTTAGCATGCTCGCGTGAAGGTAAGATAATTCCCATATTGGTTTCGCGGGCAGTTAGTGCTTAGAACTTGGGAAGACGGTCTTTGGTTATGCGTGGCGTTATGGCAGAAGCGAATAGTTGTCAATGCGAATAATAAGATTGATAGAGAAATTTGCGCGGGAATCGCTCAGAAGCTGTTCATTTCATCGTACATTGCAGCGGCCAGATCACGCCATCCGCTGGCACAAGGTTCTCGTCAGACGTTCCTCGGCAGACCGAACGTTTGCCCTCGATGTTGCGGCAGCCGCGGCGACGACAGCGCTGAAATTCGTCGGGAAGCAGGAATCACAGGCGGATATTTTTGTGCCGCGGTTGCGGTCGCAATAAGCAGGCTCCCGTCGTGCCCGCGTTGCCGCGATATCTCGTGTCTTCGCCAATGAGGGGGGGAAACGACCCCCCATGCGACGATCAGCTTCGTGGGACCCCAGAGAAACAGGCACGAGGGGAAGAGAAACAAATGGAAGTCTATTTGGCATGTGATTCCCCATCGGCTACCAGGGGATGGGGCGGAAGGATGGATAGGCATAGCAGCATTACCGGTACATTGCACCTCCCACTGAGGGGGACACGAGCATTGGCCATACTAGGTGGGGGCGTTGATAGGGCGGTGGGTACTGCACTATTATTGTCACATATTATGTACAGCCGCAGTTTGTTGACTTTTTTGTGGCTTGCTCTTTTGTCTTGACAGGCCGAGCTCCCACGCCCCGTACATAGGTAGGAAAGAAGAATGTGTGGGGGAATGAAGTATTTTGGAGAAACGGGCTTGAGACTTGGGGAGAGAAAAGAGAAGTGAACACGAGTAACCGAAGGAAACAATGCCAAGTCCGATTTTCCCTCGGCCAGCAGCCGGGAGGGAAGGCAAGGCGTAGAGGCCGACCGAGGCATCCCGGGTGGCTCAGGCCCCAGAACCTTGGTCCCGTCCATCCTCACTTCCTTTTCGGTGTGTGCTTGTCCTCGGCAAGCCCCTCACTTCCTTTTCGGTGTGTGCTTGTCCTCGGCAAGCCCCTCCCTTCCTGCCCCCGGTTCCAAGATCAGAGGAAAAAACCCGGGCTCGGTCTCAACCCCCTGGCGTTTTCGTTGAGCGACTATTCCCCTTTCGGAAAGCGGTGATGAGGGCTGCGATGACCCTGTTCGATTGGGGCGTGCGTCATGCTGCTCTCAACACTGCCGTCGGGCAGGAACACCCCGGTAATCTGGTCGAGCTGATTGTTAAGTTGGGCAACCGTTGGCAGAAACTTCCTTCCTCAGATAAGAATGGAACTGGGGGAGAAGGAGAAATAAACTAGAAAGAAAGAGACTGTTGGTGTGTAACTGGAAGAAACAGAGGAGAGAAGGAGGCTGGCTAGGTAGATAGATCGACAAGACGGATGGAGGGGCAAACAACCCACACCGTAGCACGGTCTATCTGTCTCCCACTCTCCAATTTTTTTTTCTGCCGTCCATCAGCTGGTAACATAGCAAGCATAGTATGTATATACGCATAATACGTCGGCACGCACTGCATACACTCCCTCTCCCTCTCACTCACATATAATCACCGAGAGATGAGCCGGTGCCGATAGTACCTGTCTGGACCCTCCCTTTCCCCCGTAATCTATCCTGTACCTTTCCGTAGCTCCTACATGTTACCTGCTAGGTAGATAAACTTCACCCCTCCCTTCGACAATCTTTTCTGTCCTTTCTCCTACTGTGCCTCATGCTCTTCAGACTACGTCCTATCGTCTCTGTCGCCAGAAGCACCTTTCCCCTACGACGATTCAACTCTGCAACGACAATGGCTTTCCTCGGCGCCGAGAAGAAACACAAAGTGACGGTGGTCGGCTCCGGTAACTGGTGAGCTCCATTGCTCTATCGCGCGAGCGATTGCCTACTGACTACTCCAACCCAGGGGCTCGACCATCTCCAAGATCGTCGCCGAAAACACGGCGGCCTACCCCGACCTCTTCGAACAAGATGTGCACATGTGGGTGTACGAGGAAGAGGTTGTCCTCGACAAGACGTCCCCCTACTACGACGCCGCCGTCGGCGACCAGCCCCAGAAGCTCACCGCCGTCATCAACAAGCATCACGAGAACACAAAGTACCTGCCCGGCATCAAGCTTCCCCACAACATCATCGCGAACCCCTCCCTCCAGGACGCCGTCAAGGACTCCACCATTCTCATCTTCAACCTTCCCCACCAGTTCATCGCCAACGTCTGCAAGCAGCTGCGAGGCCATATCCTGCCCTTCGCCCGCGGCATCTCGTGCATCAAGGGCGTCAACGTCTCGGACGATGGCGTCTCCCTCTTCTCCGAGTGGATTGGCGACGGCCTCGGCATCTACTGCGGCGCCCTCTCCGGTGCCAACATTGCCTCCGAGATCGCCGCCGAGAAGTGGTCCGAGACCACCATCGCCTACGACCCGCCCCCCATGGACAACTCCCGCGCCCCGACCCCGCGCTCCGCCTCCCCGAGCACCAACGGCAACGGCCACAGCATCGCCCCCCTGACCCCCGTCGACATGCACCACAAGGACGCCCGCGGCCGCGCCTCTAAGACAAAACTCACCCCCGTCCCCGCCGAGTACCCGCCACTGGACCACCAGATCTTCAAGCAGCTTTTCCACCGCCCCTACTTCCACGTCCGCATGGTCTCCGACGTCGCCGGCGTCTCCCTCGGTGGCGCACTCAAGAACATCGTCGCGCTGGCCGCCGGCTTCGTCGACGGCCGCGGCTGGGGCGACAACGCAAAAGCCGCCATTATGCGCATCGGCCTGCTGGAGATGGTCAACTTTGGCAAGGAGTTCTTTGGCGAGACAGTGCACACGGGCACCTTCACCGAGGAGTCGGCGGGTGTCGCTGACCTAATCACGTCCTGCAGCGGCGGCCGCAACTTCAGGTGCGCAAAGATGGCCGTCGAGGAAGGTTTGAGCGTCCAGGAGGTGGAGAAGCGGGAGCTGAACGGCCAGATGCTGCAGGGCACGAGCACGGCACAGGAAGTGAACAGCTTCCTCAAGGCGAGGGGTCTGGAGAAGAGATACCCGCTCTTCACGGCTGTGCACGGTATTCTCGAGGGGCGCTACAGTGTCGACGACATCCCGAACTTGGTGTCGGCGTCAGAGAATTAGGTGGAGGGAAAGGACAAGGGGGTACGGGGTGTTGAAGACGTTACAAAAAAGCATACAGGCAATACAGGACATTACTGCGGGTGTGGGTGTGTGTATTGGGAACTGGAGTATGGGTATATTTGGTTTCTGCAAATGCACATTGATATCCCTGGATGATTTAATCACAGCGGCCTGGTGTGGAAAGGATTTGTTTACAACGGGTTGAGTAATGTCGAGGTTTTGTCAATTTAAGTGACCCGGTGGTATCATACAAGCTATTGTAACGAGAAAAACAAAATTGTGTGTTGTGTGTTCTGTCTGCGACACCGTTTCGACTTGAATCAGTCCATGTTGTCCAGCAACCCCATCTTCTCCTCGTCAGGACTCGCGCACCGCCCCCTCCACGACCTAGTCCTCGCCCTCCACGACGCCGCATCATCCCCGTGCTCGTCCTCGTCCTCGTCCTCGTCCTGGGTCCTCTCTCCGTCCCCAAACACGGGCTTGAGCACGCCGTCGTACGCCATCCAGAGCAGGTTGAAGACGACGCCGAGCGCGACGCCGATCCACAGCGGCGCCCTGCCCTCCTTGTTGGCGAGCGCCTTGCTCAGCGCGAAGAGCATCATCATGGGGACCCAGAAGAGGGCGGTGAGGAGCCAGCGGGCGAGGCGCTGGCGGAGCGTGGTGATGACGTACGGGCGGAGGGAGCGGAGCCAGCGCTGGTAGTCGTCGGGCAGCTCGTGCTCGGCGGCGCCGTCGGTAATAAGCTTGAGGTATCGCGCCGAGGGCTGGGCGTAGGTCGGGTCCGGGCGGCGGGCGGGGCGGACGAAGCGCCAGTACCACTTCTTGCGGGGGTCGTCGGGCTTCTCCCTGCCGGGGTCTCCGTTCTTTTTCCCGCTCTTGTTGTGGTCGTCGTCGTCGTCATCGTCGCCAGGGTCCGGGATGGAGGGGGAGTAGAGTGTGTGCGCGAAAAAGGGGCGCGGGATGTCGATGGGTGGCTTCTCGGGGACGGAGACGCGGGGCGGGAGGGGGATGCAGGGGGTCAGGATGTCGGCGTACGAGGAGCCGCCGCCCTCGGTCGCGACGATGGTGGCGTAGTCCTCGCGGGTGACCTCGTAGACGACGCCGAAGAGTCCCTTGTCCCAGCCCAGGTCCGGGGTCCGGGTCTTGTCACCGCCGCCGCTGCGGTCCGGGGCGATGGGGAACTCCTGAGGCTGGGGCGGCGTCGGTCTCGGTGGCGGCGGGGGAATGGGCGGGAACTTCGGCGGGTCGGACGGGTCTGGGAGATTGGGCACCTTGCGCGGCGCCGTATTGGCGAAGCACGGCTCGCGGTACGGCAGGCCTGGGAGGTCGAAGACGAGGGTGAGGGCCGGGGCCGAGACGTTGACCTGGGAGACGGGGCGGATGCCGCGCACGCCGAGGAAGGTCTCGGCGCTGAGGTTGGAGCCGTAAGCGAGGTAGAGAACCGTGCCCTGGGCGGCGTCGTCGCCGTCGTCTGTTGATGCCGCGGCCAGGCGCGAGGGGGAGGTCCGCGGGATGATGGAGGTGGGCGGGTAGGAAGGCGGCGGCGGCGGCGTCGCCATGGCAAGCTCCCTGATCTGTTGGACCAGGCTTACCGGCTCCTGCGGAAGAGGGGTCGCCATCCTTTTGCGGCTTATCGGACGACGTAAGGATGCGTCTGTTTGTCCCGGGGTTGGTGGGGGAGAGAGGCTCGGTCGTTGGCTGAAGCTGTCCGGGTCGAGAGCTGATTTTGGGTCGGCGAGCGGCTCGCAGAGGGGCGCGTGATGCGCTGGGCGAGCCGGGATGAAGCTGGGGGTTGTCGTTGTTGAGGTGAAATGAACAATGCGAAACTGGTGAATCCAGGGTTGGGGTTGTTTTGTGTGTCGCTGTGCTTGGGGGGCCAGGAGAGATCAGATGGTGACGCAGGTCTGCGGAACACCCGGTCGGCGGACTGGCGGAGTTAGCTTACATAACGGACGATGACGATGTGTGGAATACATGGCGGAGGTTGGCGGACCGGCATCGGGACCGGGATTCGGTGTTACTAGCCTCAACGATGATGCGCCTATCGTGCATCCTTTCAACGCTTGGGCCATTCTTCTCGGACTCAAAGTGTTCTTGTCTTGCAAGCTCCTACGCTTGCTTTCATGAAGTAATATATCTCCCTGAGAGGGTTGCTAAAGCCGAGTCTCACGTTGAGGCAGCAAACTTTCTTTGACACCCGATTTGGATAGAAGCCATGAATGCTACAAAAGTCACGGATGAAAGGGGGCAGAACACTCGGAAGCTTGTGGAGTTGAGTAGTGAGAATAAAAGTTAATCAATATTTCAATTTTTTTCTTCGATTGCAGGACTAACAACCGCCATTGAGCACGCCAAACGCCTCGCCAAGCCTTACCTGGTCTCACACATGTTTGCCCAAGCATATCGTCTCTTGCTTCCTTACGTAGCGCACGAAATCCTTCAGCTCGATGTGTCACTGAACCTCAAATCCCACCTGGTTGCCATCCCCAAAGCGATGAATAAACGCCTCTACTCGAGATGCCTAATTTTGCTCTGCCGTGTCATCGACGATCAGACATCGTAGCTCGTAGGCGATTAAGTTCGAATTGGCGGATGCATCATCTATTACCTCCCTCTCTCACCACGAAACCTCTCAGGCGTCATAGAAATACCCTTATGAGTCCAATAATAAAATACAATGCATGTCTTCGTGGATATCGTATCTCGGAAATTTAAAAAAAAAAAAAAAGGGAAACAAGCCGCCGGTGCGTACCGTAGAGTCGAAGTCGTCGTCATCGTCGTCAGAACTCGGTACTGGCAGTACGCCAAGTCGTTTCGAGCCAAACACTGTGGGCGTGGAGGGGAGACCTATTGCCGACTACTCGATTCGCGGGGGCGTCTTTGACGAGTATGGTGATGCGCTTCTCCTTTTTTTAAAAAGGGGTGTCAGGGAACCCTCAAGACGGAAACAAATGACGTAAAAAGACAAGAAAAAGAAAAAAAAAACAGGATACAACATCAGGACGACATGACATCGTCCACAAGCAGGAAGTGATCTTAGGCTAGGGATGAATGAAGGAATGCGCTTACGATCTCCTCCTCTCGCCTTCCTTACGTAGGCTCTCGATGATCTTCAGCATCTCTTTGCGCCCGCCGTGGCTGTCGATGAGCTTGTTGGCCATGCTCATGCTGACCTTTTCGCGGGCGTTTGCGCTAAGCAGGCGCTTAACCAGGAGGTGTCGCATGAGGATACAGACGAAGACGCCGCAGTCGCTGCCATTTTCTTGCTGAGGTGCGTCCTCCAGGTTGAGGTACCGGAGCGGCCGGCCTAGGACCTCGGACATCTTATGTGTCGCCAGGCGGCCCTCTGCGTAGTTTGCGCCGCCGAGAGAGTCGTAGTGGAATGCAACGCCGTCGATGGCGCTGACAAGCAGCAGGGACCAGTGGGAGCCGCCCTCGGCTTGAGCGACGTTTCGGGCGTCGTTGATGGGAAGGAAGATATGTGTCGTTTTAGAAAAGTCGGGAAGGGCGGAGCGGATCTGGCGCATGTCGGGCTCTTTCATGAGGAGGAAGGTCATCGACGGTCGCAGGAGGCAGATGCGGGCTTGCGGGTACTTGGGAAGGATTTCGCGCTCCAGCCATCTGTGGTGATCTTGTTAAACAACAGAACGGAGGAAGGGGGGGCCGTGGCCGAACTAACTCTTCCCAAAAGGCGATGTTCTGAGAAGGCGTTAGCTAGAAGGACAAGTGCAAAGGAGGGGGTGTGGTCGCACGTTGTCTGTTAGCCAGTCGTTCTTGAGCGCCTTGATGTCTTCGTAGGTGACTATGGTGGCATGAGTAAGCGAAGTGCTACGCGACAGCAACATTGAGAGCACGAGATAGGGCGAAGCGGATGAGTGCATCATCAGCGTGGGGTACGTACGTAGGATATCGTGATCTACAATTTGTACATCCTGTCAGTCGGAGATCATCGCAACGTGGGACTGGGTTTATACCGCACGAGCGGTAGCGGATTTGGGACAAGGGGAGGGATGCGACTTACACGACAGGTAGGGTTGCTGCGGGGAGAGCTAGGACGTAATCCGGGTCAGTTGACTGGCACGGCGCTGAAACGGGACTACCTCCCAGACTTGGTACCCCGCCGCAGGTCTCGGGCAGGGTGGACAAAACGGGGGAGAGACATGTGTCTGCCTGCACGCCCGGCCATTGTTGGTCGTAGAAGGAGAGAAAGCGAGAGAGGCCCACGGCCTTCTCTCCTTCCAGCGCGAAGACGAAGAGAAGACGATGCGAAAGGCCAGAGGGCAGTGGAGCAGGCAGCAAAGAGTCTTACAGTGTCACCAAAGTGGCGCGCCATTTTCCTGAAAGGCATGCTCATCCGTGAATCCGACCAGTGGCCGGACTTGGTGGTGCTCGAGGGCGAGGTTGAGGGGGAGGAGAGCCGCGCAGCTGCTGCCGGTGATGCCGCCTGCGGTGGTGCGGTGTAGGAGATGGAGGAGCTCGTCGTGAAGCTGGGAGAGCGGGTGTCGCGGGAAGGGTGCTGGTGTCGATATGAGCGGAATGCGAGGAAGCGACTGTTATCGGGCAGAGTTACGTCAGAGGTTGTTCGTAAAGTTCGGGTCGAGAGCGGGTAATAATGTATTCGGAGCGTTTGTGCAACAACGGTGATGGATGTCGGGTAGGAAAACACGAGGGGGGAGGGGAGAGAAACCGGAAGTAGATGGGTAGAAAGTTCCAGGAATGTAAACAGTTGGGGAAAAGTGAGGGAGGGAGGGATCAGGATGTGCGGTAAGGATGACAGCCCAAGGGTCACCAAAGGAACGGTGGGAAATTGAAGAGGTCAAAGCCAAAAAGTGATCCAAATGGCCTATTTTTCCAAGCAAGCCCGGCTTCCTATTTTCCCTCTTCGGAATTTTTTGAGGAGAAAAAAAATAAAGCGGGGAGGAGGGTCTGGAGTTTTTTCCCCTTCTCTGCAGGGAAACTTCGGGATCTCCCAGACACAGATTACCAACAGGCGGAGTGATGGCTGTGGTGGGGATTGGGAGGGACGAGAGGAGACGGAACAGAGGACGGGGTTGGTTGACAAGGGGAGCATGGAACCGGGGGCAGGAATAGGTAGGGACACTAACGGCCGGCGTGCAGCAGCAAACAGCAACAACAGCTCGGATGATGACAGAGAGACGTGAGGCTTGAACTGCAAGTGATGAGGGGGAGACGTGGCCAGCGCTTGGCGTGGCGCAGTATAACCGAGAGATGCGGAAGAGGAACGAAGAGTAGGATGAAAAATGCAAGGTGACGAGGCTCGACAAGCCACACTTGTGGGGGGCAGGCAGTTCGCTTAACCCACGGTGCCTCGCCTCGGTTACCCATCGGGCTGCTGCTGCTAGGTGGAGGGGTTACTTACTGCACTGCTGAACCCCCTCGCTGGAGGGAAGGGAGCAGGCCGCCGCAGGGTCAGACGGCATAGCGGTACATGAGTACCAAGAAATGATGGATAGGACAAACCCAAATGAAAACCATGAAAAAAAGAAAAGAAACATATATATCGAGAAGCTGACGCATACCTGGTATTGATCAGGCGTTCTGAGCCCGCGTAAGGGAGACGGGCTGGCGGTTGCACGCCGACTGCTGCTGCCATCGTACAGGTTACGAGATGAGAAGAAAAGCACTGTTCGTTCCAATTTGGGGGTGAGTTCCCGGGGGCGGAGCCGGGTAACAAACGGACTGAGATACGGGACCCAACGCAGCGAGAGCGTGGAGGAGATAAACGGCGGGGACAACGGCGTTTTGAGTATGATATGGTATGGTAGGTATGTAGGAGAAATCGATTGGAATCGGCAATCGAAACAGTCGAGTGGGGACATGCAGGTTTACATACAAAAGACAGCTAGGTAGCAAGAGGAAGTCATGGAATGGCGACGGCTTGGCGTTCTCTCATCCCCCAGCGGACGATCATCTGCAATGGACGGACGGGTGGGTGAGGATAACTGGGGAAATATTTTAAGCTCCGGCTTACGAGCCTGGAAGAAATGGCTGCGGCGGGTGTGGCCAAGATTAAGCCTCTGCTTAACCTTTCATCACCTCACCAGTACTCTAATTAGAGCATACTGCATGGTCAGGCCTCCATTGGGAGTCACACAGAGATGATGGTGAGATTGAGATATAACGTCCGAGAGAGGGACAGCGAGATGGAAAGGGTATGGGCCAAGTTTACACCTCGTTGACGTCACCCTGCCTGCGGCATTGAATGCCGGTTTATCATTCATACCACCCTACGGAGTACGGATACTATCCTAGGTAAAAAGGCACCTACCTACCTTACCCCTGTGGCTCCTCGCCGCCGCATATATGCAACAACCAGTTGGCGGATATCTGCGGCTTGATGCCAACCGTCGAAGGCGCCAAACCGCTTTGAGACTGGTCCAGGCTGAGGCCGCCCTCCCCTAAAAAACGAAAAAGAAAAGAAAATGGCACTCTCGGCATACTGCTAGCGGCGACTGCTCACCACAACTACTGCTAGCAGCTGGATAAAAGAGGCTCGTGAAAGCAACAGTCGGCCGAGGGGTGCCATAAATAATAGTTATGTAATGTCAAACCCATATGGGCAAGAACGGGGTACAGCAGGGTGAGACATGGGGAAACCGCATCGGGGACTGCCGAGGTGGGATTGCCCGAACCCCCCTCTGGGGCTACGCATACATCCTCGGCGGCCTCTTGGTCACATGGGCCTGGCGACATGGTCCTCCATCATCCAGCACCGTTCCAAAAACCCCCGGAGTACAACGTACGAAAGCTGTTTTTGACCAGCTCCGCAATGTTTCATGAATGCACAGTTGACTGTACCATCGGGGTCTGTTTCCCTAGGTATGTAGGTAGTCTTCGTGGTTGGGAAAATAGGGTCTGAGAGTGACCGAAGGGGCGGTACACACATGCACGGCTCAGTCAAGAAACCATCCACTCGCAGCATGGAAGCTGGATAAACCACACTTGGCACAAATGTAAACCATGTTACTTTACTGTTTGATCGAAATCGATTGATCCCCATTAGGCGGGGACGCTATGCGAATGGGCCCAATGTTGTTGCCCATCGCTCAGGTCATATCCACGTTTGCCTCTTATCGTACATCGTACCAGTTTCGCCCGTCTCGGAACACTGCCCTGAGATGTGCGGGTGGAGAGGGACGGATTAGTCGGAGCTGCTATGGAGACCGCCCTTGCGTCCCGCCTCTCGGGCCCGCTCAGAACCGGGCTCGAACGAGCCGGAAGATGCTTTGCCACCCTCGGACGCAATCTCGCGCTGCTTGTCCGCGTCCATGCTGGCGAAGCCGCCGCTGTGACTAGCGTGACCGCCCTTGGCCGCGATTTCCTGGACCTCTTCCTTGGGACTAATGCGCATCTTTGTCAGCAAATATTTCGTTGGAGACGAGTGCGCAGGAATCGCGCCCTGACAACGCATGTGGCGAGGGTTTGGATAAGCTCACCGGTTAGCAAAGTTGCCAGGGTTAGTGTTGCCAGTGCCAGAGGACTGGTTCTGAGTGTTGCCTCCGCCGTGGCTAGCGTGACCGCCCTTGGCCGCGATTTCCTGGACCTCTTCCTTGGGACTAATGCGCATCTTTGTCAGCAAATATTTCGTTGGAGACGAGTGCGCAGGAATCGCGCCCTGACAACGCATGTGGCGAGGGTTTGGATAAGCTCACCGGTTGGCAAAGTTGCCAGGGTTAGTGTTGCCGGTGCCAGAGGACTGGTTCTGAGTGTTGCCTCCGCCGTGACTGGCGTGGCCGCCTTTGGCCGCAATCTGACGAACCTCCTCGGTGGGGCTGCATATCGTCAGCGTGATGCTGCATCACAATAAAGCGGTATAGAAATGACTGACTCACCGGTTGGCAAAGTTTCCGGGGTTGTTGTCAGCCATGCTTATGGTTTCTGTCTTGACTGGGATTCGGTTGCTAGATGTAGGGTGTAGCAGCAATGAAAGTTGTGCTGTGCGTGTGAATGGAGGCTGAGATTGTGTTGTTGATGAAAGTGAGAGTCAATTGAATTCTGATCTGGAGGACCGAGAGATTGATATCCATCCAAGAGATCTATATAGAGAGCAGGAAATAACAGACCGTTGTCGCCTGCCTACCAACCTACCAACCTACGTAGGTAGGTGGGACCTAGGTAGGTAGGTGCTTGGAAACACGGCAGCACTTTCCCTCAGTGACGTTGAGATTAGGCAAACGCAGGCTCTCCCCCCCGCCCTGCCGCTCTGGAGATCTTCGCTTGCTGATCCGAGAATGACGATGAGGCAACTTCATTCCGATTTACCCCTATGATATAACTTCACGCATTTCCTACAAGACGGCGCCAAGCATTGTGCAGAGAAAAAAGCAACACCAATCAATGTACTGCCGGGATAGCTGGGGAAAATGTCCGTAATGGCGAAGCTGACATCACAGTATCGTCAAACCTGCCAGGCACATCCACAAAACACACCCGTCGTTCCCGACTCAATGAGCAAGCCAAGTCTCTAAATCGGGCCGAGACTCGGTTGATCAACCATTCCGTTTTCTTTTCTTTTTTTTTCCGGGTCGCTTGCTTCCTGTCGCCCTCGCTCTCTCGATGTATTTGCACAACCTGGAGGACTGGTGCAATGACGTCGGCTCTCCTGCATCTTCAACAACCGTGGACCGCCCGCCCAGCAGAATCTCTTGGCCAGTGCTGCGCCTGTTAAACGATGCGAGGGATCTGTGCCGCCAGTATTCGTCTTCAACACTAAAATGGCTTTCGGTGGTTTGTAGTAAGATATGATCCTGCCGAGGCAGATTTAGCAATATCGACGGTGGCCGGTAGAGCCGACCTCGGGATCCAACAGGTTGCCACTACCCGTTGTGGCATCGGCCCCACGAACCGGCATCCCTGTTGAGATCCCGATCCAAGGGCTACACTCTCTGGCTCTGACCGCGGGTCCATTGATGTGCTCGATTTCCGCCGGGACTACACTGGGGCCCTTTTAAGTATTTCTGATTCATCTACTGCTTACCTGGGTGGACAGTCTGAAATCCACGGCGAGGATGTAGTGTATGGTCGAGATTCAGCCTTTTCCTGTATCATATTTCGTGTAAACACTTTAACCTCCTTTGTCAGCTGCCCACCTGCCGTTCGGTGTCTTGTCCCCGTCTAAGGCTAATCGTGCGGGCTATGGAGCTTGATTTTACCAATCCGTCAAACTAGCGCAAATGATGATTCCTCATACTAATCGGAAGCGGAAAAACAGCGCGGTAAGAGCTGGCCTGCAAACTTGGAATGGCCGTATGCGATAATGGGTCACAAGAACCAGCAACAGGGAATCTCACAGTACATGGTGAACAGCGTTGTCTATCAGCAAGACTGTGTGTTTCGTGAGAGAAGTATCGTGATGTGGTGAACTCTCGGTGTTGACGGTTGGACATCCACGTCTTCCGCGATTAACCGGCTTTAACGTCCATGAATTTGACCATCCATCCTCGTTTCATGGTGTCTGCCCCTGATCCTCGCGACCTTACTGCCCGCAGGTGCCATTGATAAGATCCGTATGAGGAGCACCGCTCCTGGAAGGATTTAACGTTCGAGCGGCGGTTTACCGCCTGCTCACTGTTCCCAGCCTCAAAGAACGATGGGTTACAAGACACGACTGTCGTCGCCCGGCCTCCTACTTTGCCAATCCAAATAATGTTTGGGTATGTGCACCGCCGGGCGCTACGGTGACAGCTGCCTGTTCCCTCGTCCTAGCTAGAAGCCGTCGGGAATATGGCCTCCAGGGTTAGGCGGGTCTGAGCTGGACTCCCTCTGATCGTCCGTCGACAAGGGCTTTGCGGTTTTGTCAGTCGGCTATGCGGGATGTTTGATGGGCTGCTGCCCGGGTCGCTGGATGGAACGAGCCATGCGCGGTGTTCAATGAAGAGGCTTTTCTCTCACAGCTTCTGGGAACAGATCAATATCGGGCGGAGCCACTACCCAATGATATATGGGCGAGCGACCCGAAATGGGAGCTGAGGCAATGCACTCCTTGGGGTGGATCAGACTCCTATCGGCAAACCTCTCTCCGTGTTTAGTGTTCTCTGATGGCACGTAGACACGGCAACCATCACTTCCAGCAACCTCGGTTTGGAATCTGCGCTGGGTAATGGCTTATTTGCTGAAAGCAGGGTTCTGTTCCATGGTGCTCGAGATGTGCTTCCTCAGCGCGGCCCACCTGCTCGCCGTCGCATCAGACGCCGCCGATTCAGCCCCTGCCTCCGCGGCCGGATTCTCTACGGCCATCGCACCGGCAGCTGTAGCAGAAGCAGAAGCAGCCGGAACTGAGGCCAGCGCGGCCATGCTGGCGCCGAAGCGCTGCATTTCGGCTCTGACGATCTTCTCCTTGCGCTTGAGCGCGCCGGGCCTGCTCTTCAAGCTCTTGTGACGCACTTTGCCCTCGCGGAGCTGCTCCAGCGTCTGTGCACCCTCTTCGAGCTCAGGGAGGGCGTCGGCGAGGGACTCCATGGTTGTGACGAGCTTCTTGTTCGGGCGGCGGCGCTTGAGGGGCTTCTTGTTGGCCTTTTCCACCTTGCTGACGAAGGCGCTGTGCTTCATCGTCCGCTTGTCCTTCTTGTTGGTCAGGAAGCCATCGTCGACCTGGGCCTCGGGACGGAGCGTCTTGTGCGGCGCGAGGGGGTGAATATCGCCGCGGATTCGGGCCATGCGCTTCTCGCGGGCCGAGAGGGTCTTTGTCGGGGCGGTGGGCGCCTGGGGGAGGAGAGGGTCAGCATCGTGCAATTACAAGGAAGTTTGCGGACGTATTACCATCTTGGTTCGATTTTCTCGGGGGATTTGTAGGTGGATTGGCTGGGTTGGGCGATCTCGAGGGTTGGTTTTCTTTGTGTAGTGAGACCTGGGATTCAGAAGTGCTTGTGGAAGTTTGAAGACGCCCTGAGCTTCAAAAATTCCATGGTGGGGCGCCGACGAGAGCGGATCTCTCCAATCGTGGGGGTCGGAGATCGGTGGCGGAACCTCCGACATGCACAAAGGCTCACCCAAATTCCCGCGCATGGTCCTTATTCATCCCACTTGCACCAGTATTACGATCTCCAGACGTGAAAATGGGCAAAATTGAGGACTTGCGGCGAAAGGTTGCCGAAACTACCCTCGAGCTCCAGAATCTGAAGCAACAACTCGAGCTGGCCGAGAGGGAAGCGCAGAAGGAAGCCCAGAATGCGCCGGCGCAACCATGGAAGTGGCCCCTGCAACCCGCAGACTACGAGAGATACGGGCGGCAGTTGATCATCCCCAACGTCGGAGTGATAGGTCAGCTCTTGCGTCTCGATTGAGAATCGAGCACCATGCTGAAACGGAAGTAGGTCAACTGAGATTGAAGAAGTCCAAGGTCCTCATCATCGGCGCTGGGGGACTGGGATGCCCCGCGGCCGCTTACATCGCCGGGGCAGGGGCCGGCACCGTTGGACTTGTCGACGGAGACGTGGTCGAGATTTCCAACCTCCACCGCCAGGTCGCACACTCGACTGACAGAGTCGGCATACCCAAGGTTGAGAGCGCCATCGCATACTTGAAGGGGTATGTGCATCCATTTCCCCAGCGACATATACCTCTGGGCGGAACTGACAGCTCCTCTCAGTCTGAACCCGCTCATAACATATCACGCGTACAAGGAGCATCTGACGCCTTTGAACGCTGAGCAGATAGTCTCGCAGTACGATATCGTCCTCGACTGTACTGACCACCCGACGTCCCGCTATCTTATCTCAGACATCTGTGTTCTCCTGCAGAAACCCCTCGTATCAGCTTCTGCCTTCCGAGCGGATGGCCAGCTCATCACCCTAAACTCGCCCGCCGCGCCGCAAGGTAGCCTGGAGGGCGGGCCGTGCTATCGCTGCGTGTTCCCCAAGCCGCCCCCGCCTGACAGCGTCGTCAGCTGTGGCGAAGGGGGCATCCTCGGCCCCGTCGTCGGCGTCATGGGCGTACTACAGGCCCTTGAGGCCATCAAGCTCGTCGCTTCGGGGGCTGTTGATCCCAAGGTCCAGGAAAAGGAGGCCACTGCTCCGTCCCTCCTCATTTTCTCGGGAGCGGTTCAGTCAGGTCCCTTCAGGTCTGTCCGGATGCGCGGTCGAAGGAAGGATTGCTTTGCATGTTCTGCCACTTCGACGCTGTCGCTAGAGACGCTGCGATCAGGCCCACTCGACTACGTTTCTTTCTGCGGTGTCAGCGGACCGGTGAGTATTCTCAGGCCCGAAGACCGGATTTCGGCAGCCCAGTATGAGCGCACGGCCAAAGAAAGCGGCAAGTCCCACATTCTGCTCGATGTGAGAGAGCGTGAGAACTTTGATATCTGCAGCATTGACGGCGCCGTCAATATTCCCATCGCAAAGTTTATGAAGGAGACACAGCCACTGAGTGACGGCACTCGGCCCCGACCGGAGTGGCTGCCCGCTGACTTGCCAGACGATGCGCCCATCTACCTCGTCTGCAGAGTTGGCAACGACTCACAGCTTGCAACGAAGCGCCTTAAGGATTTGGGGCTGGACAACAACGGCAGGAGGTTCATTGGCGACATCGAGGGCGGAATGAAAGCTTGGAAACACCAAGTTGACCCTACATTGCCATTCACCTAGGTAACAACCACAAGTGGCAGAAGACTTTTGGATGGAAGCTGAATTTGTTCTGACGATGGGAGCTGTGTCGCCATGATACATACTTTTTTCCCACCTATACCCCTATTACTACAAAGAGAGGAGGGCGACCTACGCCCATTATCCATGAACCTGATTAGTCGTACGAAAAAGGAAATCGTCCGTTGACGAGCCGTGGCGGGTAATTGGTGTTCTACACGAAGCTGACACGCTTCTTATTGAAGGCCCGCTGGTCCTTGAGCCATTGGCGGTAGCCCTTGACGCTTGAGATCTTCTCGCCATAAAAATCGGGAACTGTTAAGGTGGTTAGCACAGTATCAGCTGGGCGTGCGAGAGAGGTTGACATGCCTGGGTTACCGACAGAAGACACGGAAGGGTCGACGCGGTTCTTCTTGATGCGGGCGAAGAACTCCTTCTCCTTCTGTAATATCAACCAAATTAGCATCTAGTGAAATCCCATGGTCGACACATGACGGCTTACGATTGTCATCTGGTTCTTCCACCTCTTGTTCAGTGTGTAGAAGACGAAAGATCCGATACTAGGTCCGACCAGCCATCCCAGCGTACCGAAAGCCATCGTCATCAAGCCCATTGTGATGAAGGGGTCCAGAGGGACCTGCGTCACCAACGGATCCGCAACGCCAGTCGCCAGGATGCCAGCACCGCCAACGAACGCGCCCAGGCCGGATATGACGCTGAAGCCGAGCTGCCATCTCCTTCGAGACTTGCGCAGCTGAAAGAATGTCTCCCAGTCCAACTTGTCCCCGGGCGCAGCGGCCGGCTTGGTTTGTGCCGCAGTGGCAGCCGTGGCGTTGCAGCGCTGCGAGCAGGGCTGGCGAACAACGCGGGCAACGATCGAGGACGGAGAGGAGGCGCCAAAGGCGGCGCTGGTACGGGCCAGAGGACTAGCCGGAGCAAGCCCGATCAGGCGGGTAGAGGGCAGCTGCTTCTTCATGGAGGCGGTCGAGTACGGGCATGCGGTAGTGCGGACGATGGAGGAGGCGACTGATGCGCGGGCAGCGCCCTGACCGGCGAGGCGGAGGGCGAATGTACTCGTGGGCGTCAGCATGGCTGCGTGACCTCGTTGAAAAATGTTGATCTTGTTGGCCGTTTGTGAGTCTGTATGTAGTGGAGTGGAGAGTTTTCTTATGGCTGGTGATCGAAGAAATTGGAAAATGAGCCGGAGCTGGGGTGGATGGAGCTCGCGATGTGGTCAAGCGCAGGCGCTCGCTCAGCTCAGCTACCGCACGGACCGTCCAGAGCCAGCTCACTAGTAGACCACATTAAGATAAAGAAACTAGTTTTATCTTACTACTAACTTTAAAGAAAACTATTACAAAGTATAAGATTTAATTATTGTAAATACTGTTCTATAAGTACATATCTACTAAAGTACTAATATAATACTTATATTTAAAAAACTCTTTATATTTAGAAATAATATAGTATATAAGTAAGTAGACTATAGTTATATATTAACAAGTTACTTCTTATTCTAAAGAATGTCTTAATTTCTAAGTATTTATTAAAAAACTAGTTTATAACTAAAAACTATTAAGTTTTCTACTTTAAGTTTTACTGTTTTAATAAGACTTTTAATATTAGAAATAATATACTAAGAATACGTCCTTATCCTAAAGACTAGATAAGGGCTTATAAATAGTTAGGACTTAGAGTTATTTTCTATATTATTATCTTTAGTACTATAACTTAAAAGAAAAGCTTAATAATATTTATAAAACTTTTAGTAATAAGAAGTTAAGAAGTAACTAATCTATTTACTTATATACTATATAGTATATTTATAAAATATATACTCTCATAAAGTCTTTGAGATATATGATTAAAATCTATATAAAAATGAATAAAAATATTATAGAATATAAAAGTATTAAAAGAAGCATAAGTTTTTAATAAAATAATATAAAACTACTTAGAATTCTAACTTAGTTTAATATAAAACCTATGTTTAAGTATGTTAAAGATATTTTAGAAACTGTGTCCTTTTCTTATATTATTTTTATGTAAGAAAGTAGGGTTCTAAGCTTTTTAGTGGCTGCCTAACTGTTTAGAAACGCTAATTAAGACAGTGTTAGGTTTCCTCCTTCCTTCACCTTGCAAAGCCGCAGACCGACTGTACGGACGCCGTCTTTCTATGGCTTGACTGCTCCCAAAAATAAGTCAGAGCCTGTCAGTCTCTCGAACATGCTTTCCGTTGTCACTGTTAATTTTTTCTAAAGCTTGCAGAGCATAGCGTTGCCGTTCTTCGACGGGTTCTGCTTACCTACCCGCAGCGGTGGACAGATCGCGACGCGCGAGACAAGAATCTCCAAGTGCGGGACCCCTCCCTCATAAACTTTGAGCGACCAACGACCACGGACTCATCATTCCTACCACAACTTTTTCGAGGGCCTCCGCCCACATCCACCGGCGCCCGCCGGCCGTGGCACGGTGGTCTTTGCCCAGCGAGTGGACAAACATGTCGCGCCCCTCGAGGTACATCTGGTTCGGCAGACCTACGCCGGACGGTAGCACCAGCACCAGCAACACCCCCTCCAACTGTCGATCCAAAACCGCGGGCGTGCGTGAGCTTGCCGTAGTCATCGAGAATATACCGACCTACCGCCGCTACAAGCCTGGTACTGGCCCACGCCTAGCCCCGATAACCCTACTTCCGGTACACGACACTACCGCCTATATCCGCGACGAGTTCTTCGTTCCACCCGCGCTCTCTGTTGATGGCAAGAAGCGTCTGCTGTACGTCGTGGGCTGGACCGACCTCCCCGCCGCGCGGCTACAGGTCGACGCCGAAAGAATATGTGACTACGTCTCGCCGAGGGCGTACGAGGAGTGGTGCGCCGCGCGAGCTGCCGAGCGGGATGAGGAGGAGCGCAGGGCCGAGGAGGAGGAGAACGTGCGCGCCGTAGAGGAAGCCGAGGCAAGGGAGAAGGGGATATTCAAGAGGAGTGCAGTCAAGAGCTCCCTCCCCAGGGGGAAAAAAAGGAACCGACCAGTTGCGGACCGGGCAAGAACGCCGCCCCCGAAAACGAATTGGGAGAAGACGAAGAAGCCGGGTCGACCGAGGAAGGAAGCGCCGTCGCTGTCTACCCCCTCAAAGAGCACAGTCTTACAGGAAGTGGAGGCTTCGAATGACGACAATGACGTTGATATGGAAGAGGCGATATTCCGGCAGCTGAATGGGGAGGAACCGATGTCGACTGAAGGATCCTACGACTTAGGCGAAGGGAGCAGTGTCCCGAGCATATTGGAGCCGTTGGCGAAGAAGCGAAGAATCAAATCGCCAAGACCGACGCTATCAAGATTGCTATCGGGCATCGAGACGGACAGCAGCAGGAGTACGCCCTTTGAATCTTCCAGAGGAGGCACTAGCTCGCCAGCATTACCGCCATTACCTAAACCTTATGCTGCTCCACAAGCGGCCCGGCCACGGGATACCCCTATCTTGCCTCCCGTACCGCCGGCCTCCACCCTCCAGACGTCAACACCCACCGCCCCGCGGACTAAGACCAAGACACAACCACAAAAGCGGTCTCTCCTCTCGATACGGGATCCTCCCTCCACACCCCAAAAGCCGTCATCCATGGCTCAGACTCCGACCCCCAAAGCTCAAATCATCCCGCCACGAGCACCGGCAACCGCACCACCAGCCATCAAACAGCCATTAGACGTAGACGACTCTACAACATTCCATACTCCAACTCCTAGGACTAGCTTCACCCCTCTGATTCAGAACACAACACCATGGACCATCTCCCTCGCGGCGTCCAAGAACTTCGCCAACCTCACACCCTCACAGCCGATCCGGTCTGTAGAACAGGCATCTTCATCGACACCAAAACCGACGCTACCCAAGCCGGCGATGCACGACCACACGTCACCCCTCAAAGCAACCCAATCCGCACCACCCGTCACAACCGCCGGCAGCACACAGGCCGTGGCGAAGTCGCTGCCCGCCCAAGAAGAACAAGAGCTCCCCGAAGAAAACAACATCTACGAGGTCCTCAGCCTCGAAGGCGTTCAAGAGCGCATCGTCCGCGGAAAACGCGTCCGCTTCTTCCACGTCCGCTGGAAGGGTGTCTGGCCGCCCGGTCAGAACCCGACCTGGGAGCCCGAGGCCAACATTCCCCGGTCTCTCATCAAGAAGTACTTCCTGGCACACCCGCAGTCGCACCCTCAGGGCCGTAAGACGGGGGCAATGGACAAGTACCTTGTCCCGTCCTGGCCGCACCGCAAGTACTCGTCCGTTTCAGAGGCCTTTGAGGGGGGGGATGCGGACGACGAAGCGGGCGGGGGCGGCTACGCCGACGGTAGCGAGGATGCGGTCGAGGACGACGGCGATGAGGAGGAGCATATTGGCAATGAGATGCTGCTTGTTACGGACGAGCCGACGCAGCCTGCCAAACCCACGCTTTCTTGGTGAAATGAGGTTTCCCGATGGGTGGGGCACGAGATACAATCAGCCATGGGCATTTACGACCAGGAGTAATGGGATTCTGGGGCCAGCGGGGTTGTTGGTTCCTGTGTTTTCGTCAAGCCTCTTTTTGGAGTCAATCTGGACTTAGTTTAGTCTTTAATTGGGGGGAGAGTGCCCCTGTCTACCTCGGCGGCGATGAAAGTATGGTCAGTGTTACCACAGGGCGCTGGCCTACACGTATGCTCACACGGGGTGCCTGAAATGTCGCAGAATGTTGCCATGGCCCGACTGCATACCAAATATCACAAGTTCCAAAAAAAAAAAAAAAAAATCAAACAAAGCCCCTAATGAGATGACGCGTTCGTGGAGGGATAAGCGTGAAGAGAAGGTGATAGACATCTGTTTCCGCCTTGGAAGTTATGAAGTGCGTTCTTAGTGTTATGAAAACTCCATTCTATTGTGCTGGCTGTATACCTGTCCCCAGTAGTTCCCTTTGCTCGCTTGTGAATATATCGCTTTAGGTGCCCTCCAAGTCCATCCAAACCAGGTAGGACATCCGCCAAATGGAGAAGCCTCTGGCCCTCTGGCACCTTTATGCGACGCAAGAGTCAAGAGCCCCGTAGTCATTTAGTCCCATTCACGAACCTTCCCAGGATCCATTCGCTGATGCACCCATATTCCCTCTACTAAAAGGGAGCCCGGCCGACTAGAGACTTTTTACCCGACGGCTTCGCCTTGTCCTTGGCGATTCTGGCCGTAAGTCTGTTGAACACAGGCTTCGAGATTCCGTGAACTCCCTCGAAGTCGTCGTCCGTGATGAGGTGGGGACCTGGGGAAACAGGTATCGAAGTAGGCGTTTGGGACCCGAATGCAATGTCGCTCGAAGGGGTGTCAAAACCCAAGATGCTCTCGCCCGAATCCTTGTTCACAAAAGAAGGGACACCCATACTAGGGTTGCCTCCAACGGGGTTACGTTGAACGCCGGCGGGTACATGGACTGATGGGTCGTTCATAGCCATCGAAACCTTCTCAAAGTCAGGTAGTAGCGGTCTCGTTGAGGCAATAGTAGTGACTGCCGTTGGTTTGTCGGAAACCTTGTCCGAAGGTAGAATCAGCGACTGTTCAGCGTCTCCTTGGAGCCCGCCATCGTCAACGATGACCTGTCGACATCATGGTCAGCAGCTTTCTTCTCATTCTCCTCTCTCGCCGCTTTGCTGTTCAAGTAAAGATTCACCTTGCGACGGTCAATCCAGCCGGTCACTTCATACAAGAGATCTGCGCTTTTCTGAGTGTACGGGTTGGGGCTGTCGACGTTATAGTGCTCCCATGCCTTCCATGATTGGATCTGATCCATTACCCAGCCTCCATGATACCACACCTGAATGGCTCCCGACTGGCGGTCTCTGCGGTGGAGCACCTCCTTACGCTGATCAGAGTCGTATGCCATGTACTCGATAGCGTTATCCCAACCGGCTGTTTTTTCCCAGACGATGCTTTTGCGGTCAAGCATATCTTTGAGACCGACGGTATCCGGGTCATTCTGGTCGCATGCCTCCAGCATCTGCTCTTGGAGAAGCTTTTCTTCACTCTCACGCTCCTCGGTGGTCATAAAAAGCTGCGCATTCTCAGAAGCGAGAATGGAAAGGTCAGCAGTCGTGTAGGTAGGTAGGAACGGCTCGTAGAGGTCTCCTAGCGGTGCACTGCACGGGTCTGGTCTGAATGTTACAGCCCGGCCATCAGCGGGCACAGTCCATAGACCTGACTCAAGGATGCTTTTGCGAACGTGAATGGCCGACTTAAGACTGGAAAACGATATCTCGAAGCTTCCATCATCAAAATAGGCGAAGTGAGTGATGAATTTGGTGAAGTTGTATCCCAGGCCTGCGCTCTTGAGGATGGGCCGGAGATGCATGACTGGAAATCCAGTAACAGCAAGGCAGCGTGTGGAACCCCCGTCTATCGAAGCCTGCACACTCTCATTCAAAGGATATGAGTCTGTGGCTGGGAGACTGATACGTACCTTGGCAAAGATACCATTGTGGGCAATGAAGCCAAACTCACGAGATCGGGAGAATTCGTAGAACTTGAATGCATACTCGGCAGTGGTGAATTCAATGTAGGCATGGTTGTAGTTTAAGTCACCGGCGCCCATGGGAACGGCGTGGGCATTGAGGATTTGGCCACCCCGGACATGTTCCAGGACTCGCTGAATGTGGACTTCATCTGGAAGGCCAGTCATAATGACAATGCGAGAGGCTATATCTGGAATGCCAGAATCGTCAGTTAGTCGTTGGTCGTTCTGATTTCGCATATAGCGAATGCCGTACAGAAACATACCCGGGATCTGGGAGACTTGGCGGGCTCCCGGCGCCCCTTGATGATTGCGCAGCGCCCGCTCTCTCTGGAAAGGAGACTCCCATATGTCGTTGCAGTCCTCCTTCCACTCGAGAAGGTCAGCGTTGACGTCATGGGGATCTTGTGGTTCCGAATTTTTCGAGCCGATGAGTCTTGGCTGCTCCGGCAGCTGGCACGAAAGTTGTTGCAAAGGTTGCTGGGACTCCGACTTATTGCAATCGGAATCGTTGGACCTGGTGAATGAGGCTTCTGTAGCAGTCTGTGGCGGAAGATCCAGCAGACATCCTGCGTAATCCGAGAACTTGCTATGAGGAGGTGTACAATGTGTCATCGGAGGCGGCGGGATCTCATCAAATGATATGAGAAGCTCTTCTTGGATATCTTCTGTCGCACAATTGTCCAGCGGTGCGCTGCTAGGGGAAATGCCGATGCTTGCAAAGGTTTCAATGTGCTGGGGATTGTCAGCGACAAAAGCGCGGAGGAATGCTTCGTACGTCTTGTTGCGCTCTGCAGCATTTAGAAGGCCTATCTGAAGCCCCCGTAACCGGTTCGTGAGGGGCTCCTGGTTTTGTATAACTCTGTTATACTTTGCCTTGAACTCTTCCAGTTGTGTTTGTTTGTAACGGAGCTCCTCCTGCAACTCCTGCAAGAATTCTTGATCCAGCTTTTTACGTTCACTGATATCTGCCGCATACTGCTGAGATCGGCATCTGAAAAGTTCAGCTTCGGATAGCTGCGTCGTCAACTTCTCAATGGTAGCATCTCCCTTGGCGACTCTGTGCTTCAAATCCTCGTTGATGCTGTAAAGACGATCATTCTCGCGTTTGAGAGTCTCGTGGTCGTGCTCGGGCTGCGTGATGCGAGCCGGAAGGGATGCTATCATGTCGTCCGACGGGCAGCGGCTCTGGCGAGCATCGACGAAGGACAACGGGGAAGAGCTCGGTGGGGAAGTTTGGTCTCTGGTAAAGGACAATCTGGGGCCTACGTCAGTGATTGAGTTCGAATGAACGCAGGATCGCTGTGGTAAATCCAAGAGCTATGACTTACGAGCCGGTGGAAGTGGACTCTGCCGATGCACGATCTAGATTGCCTTCGCTGAGAGTCTGGGAATAAGAACCGAGATTAAGTGATTGGGCCCCCTTGACGGCATTGTCGGTTCCAGGTCGGTCAGAGTTTTGATTCATGGAATTAGTGATCTTCTCCGTGATGTTATCACTGGGAGGAATATCCCCGTAATCAGACGAATCAAAGTCGATGAGGTTGGGAGAATTCAAATGAGTGGCTGGACCAGCGAGCCTCGGCGGGCTGGGGTTACCGGTGACGCTTCTCTCGTCGTTGGTCCAGCCGTTGTCGGTGGACACATATACCGTGGATCCATCGTCATCTTGTTGTTGGCCGATGATGCGGCCGGGGAAGTAGGAGTCGAATCTATCGACCATGTTGAATTGTTTCTGCGCTGACTTGTTGGATGCTCGGTGAAGTGACGGCTGTATGTGCCACGTCGTTGACTAGAGGCTTTTAATGTTTTAAGGAACAGCGCTACAAAACGAAAGATATTAGTAACTCAAAAGCTGTAGTGTCGTGATGTCATGAGAACAATATATGAGAGAGAAGATTATGCAAAGACCACTCCTCGGTGCGTATCTGTGCCTCTAGTCACGACTTTCTCTGCCAATCTGAGAAGGGCTGTTTCATCGAGAACCGGGCGAGAAGATGTGAGAGGGGAAGGCTCGGTGTTTTTGAGAGGGTAGAAGGGGTAAGAGATTGAGGTATGCTGGTGATCTTCTTTTTGGCCCAGATGATCTGGCTGACCCTTCCAAAGAAGGTGCTAGGTGCTGGTGATAAAAGTTGGGGAAGGAGAGAGCAGGTTCATAGCAAGAGAGAAAGAGAGAGACAGAGCGAAGGTGAAATGGGAAGGAACTGCCCTGTGAACCCAAGGCGCAGCAGTGTTGGGATATTTGGCAACGGAAGATGACAAGGCTGTTGAGGGTTAAACTTGCCTACCTCAAGTCGCCGATTTTTGCTCCAGGTATTGATTCGATGAAAACCGGCAGGATCAGTTGCCACTTGCTGAGGTATATCTGTGTCAAACCAAGAGGCTTTGATGGACGAGCCTGATGTAGATTGATGCGCAGTTTAGGGCACAAAGGAAATACTGCTGATTTTAGGCACTGGAACCATCCAACGACTGAAAATCGTACTTTCCTTGAATTCCTTTTCTAGTTGCCGCGTATATGAGTCTTCAAGTCACTGACGGTCGTGTGTGGTGTGGGAAGTTGTGGGAGACGTTGATGCTGGGTTATTGGTTCTAGACGTGAGGGTAAGCCGCTGTTGGCAATAGAGGTGACGAAGTTCAGACGCCCCTTGGCGTTCTTTGCCCACTGACCTTGGCATTGAAGAGATACGGGAGATGAAGCCAACTGGAATCATGTCATGCTAAGCGCCGCCTAGGAATTTGAATTACGCGGCGAGAATGAAGGAAAAGAAAACGAAGGTAGAAGTGGGAGGCACTTCTGTACCTGGCTATGGGATGATTGGGATGCCTCAATATCCAGTGGTGAAAGATGGAAATGGAGGGAAAGAAGTGGAAGTTGATGGTGGCGGAGAATTTATATAAGGGAATGGAAAGTGAGGTATGAGGGATATAGAAGAGAAAGAACCTAGGCCATTGAGCGATTTCATTCAAATAGTTTCAAAGGGAACAGCCCACCTGCAAGACTGGGATCTCATCTTGAGAGGGCGGGTGCAAGAAAGTGAGTATAGTATGAAGTTATCAGACTTGTCCAGATGGAGTAGAGTGGTGACAACCTTGACAAAGGCCATGCCTTGTGATAGAGCAGGATACAACCCTATAAAATGAGAGACGAAACATCCGAGAAGCAAACGAGAAGGACTGCCAGAAACAACAAAACTATGGAATCGGAAACAGGTGAATAAAGGACACTGGAAATCAGGTTTTAGTAGCTTTTGTTCATGCAGCGGAGAAATATTAGTACTGATAAAATAACATCAAAAATTGAATATACTCATCAGAAAACGCACACTACTATTCGTCTTCCTTATTGCATTCTCCCTTCTTCTTCATGGATCCCAATAGTCGGCATAATACGCCAACTTGGTGAACTGAAAGACATAGAAAGCCAGCGGGGAGAAAAAATGGAGACAATACTGAAGAATGTGAGCCAGTCCAGAGGTGATCTATAAAATCTCTCATGAGAAACTAGGAAAAATGAACCACCTGGCTTTTACAAGAGCAACAAACGCTATATAACCGAACGGATAAGTCATGCGCTTCGCAGGTTGGAGCTCCTCGTTTGTGCGGATGATGTGTATCGCGAATGCCGCAAACCGGCAAGTCGGAAGTCGCCCAGATCGTCAGCTGGCTAGGATGATACGTTGTGGTTCTTCTATACAGCGATCCGTGTTGACGGCGGTTCGAATCTGCCTCTGGGCAATTGAGCTTGATCCTAAGGATCAATTTTGCATTTTTGCAAGCATGTAGTCTCACCGAAGTAGTCGTCTGCAATCTTCGACACTCGATGTGTGATTGAAGTCAGTGCCCACGGAGCGAGGACAACGGGACAGCGGGCCATGGTGGACGATGAGAGATGGACCCGATCTCCTCGACAAAAATACAGTGTTGAACCACAATACGAAGGTATGGTAAATGAATGACATGGATAAGTCGTAGATCTGCTCTCCATTTTGAATGTGCCGACAAGCACACATGGAGAGGTTAAAGCTGCAAGTGGTCCGTTGATCCCTTACAATGCAGTTTTACGCCCGCTCCTGTTGCTCATGCACAGCATCACTTCCGATGACATTCCAATTGAGGAGGCAACTGGCCGTGCCCTTCTGGACTGGGTGGGTGTCTAAGTTAAGTGTTGAGGTCTCGATAAGAAGACGATAGCGGAGAACTTTTTATTCTGGTATCTGATGGAAAAATGTTGCTTTGGGGGGAAAAGGAATGTAGCAAAACAAAAAGTGGGTATATGTGCTTCCCATCTTGACGCCGCGCTTTCATAAAGTGACTAGTAAACAAAAGTCCTTGCAGCCAAAGCCCATCGCTCATGCATCTCACGCCTCAATGACGAGGTCCCGAACCATGTTGAGGAACCGCTCCCGGTACTCAATGGGGTTGGCGGTGATGCTCATGGGCCCGTGGCCGGCAAAGACATTATACGACTTGACAAGCCCCGTCATGGCCTTGGCGCGGAACTTGTGCTTGGCCCAGAAGAAGTCAAGCACAATCATGCGGTAGGTCCAATTGCCGTCTACGTCCGTCAGGCCGGTGCGCCACTCGTTCGCGTTGGACTGGATGGTCGGGACATCGCGCGGCTCGTCCATGACGTTGGGACCCGGGTAGCGGACCAGGAAGAGCGAGTAGTCGACGGCGTTATTATCGGCGAGAAGCTGGGTGTCAGCTCCGAGGAGGCCAAGAAGCTCCTCCTTCTGGGCCGCCGTCACCCGGATCTTGTCGTCAAACTCATCAATCAGCCTCTCCTTGACGCTCTCCGGGGCCAGGCGGCCGTTGGCGATGTCCCGCTCGGGGAAGAAGTAGTCGTTCGGCTTGAGGTCGTACGTCTCCCATTGCTTCTTCCTATGGTCCGTCTCCTCCTCCGCCTTGCCGTACAGCAGGTTCTCCATGATGATGTGGTGGGTGGGCGCCGTTCCCAAGATACCGCCAAGGGTGGCTATCGAGGTGTAAACCATGTCGGTGATACGTACGAGAAGGCTGTGTGGGTTCTTCTTCATGTGGGCGACGTAGGCGCCGAACAGATCGCGGGTAAAGAACTCGTGCTCGAAGCGGCGGGGCAGCGACTTAATAAGGAATTTGCCGTCGGCCGTGGTAAAAAAGGTCGAGCCGCTGTAGCCTAGGTCGCCAACGGGCTTGAGGTCGGATTCACGTCCCTTGCCCTTGGCGGTCTTCGGCGAGAGGTGGAACGAGTTTGTGTACTCGTGCTCGTCCAGCTGCCAGACATTATGGCGGAGCTCGAGGAAGTCTGCGGCGCGGTAGCGGGCGAGGGGGAGGTGGAAGACGGAGAGGAAGGTAGCGAGAAGGCGGAAGATGCGGTTTTGGAGGCTTGGCCTGTCCGGGTTGTTGGAGTCAGCTGAGATGGCTGCGAGAATCGAGGAAGATATCGAGGTGCTGCGGATTTGCATCTTGGCTGATGGCAGGCCGCGGGCCTGAAGGGTTGGATATTTATTGGATGATCGTGAGCGAAGACGGGATGGGGTAGTTGGTGGAAGTGAGTTTAGCTCCCCGATCTAATGTAGGTACCATGAAGGGATGGAGGGATGGATGGGAGCTCGAACAAAGCTTTGGCGGGGAGCTACCGACGTTGACGTCACACCCCATCCAAACAAAGTCCCTGTCTTCTCTAATTACATACACTAGAGCGCATGCGGCAGTGCCATCTCGGGCACTTTGCTCACTGTAGATCGCCGCATTCCTTTCGCTGCTGATGTCACTCTTCTCTTCTCAATTGAGAATTGCCGCACTGCAACCGCGCCTGCGCGCCTCAGGAGTTGTGTCGCCGTGGCTCGGTTGCCTTTCTCCATCACGAGGCCTTCACTGCTTCTCCTCGTGTCGCCGAACCGCCAAGATGCTTAAGCAGAAAACACCGTAACTGACACGGGCGCTTACAGATTGTCGCACCTTTTTGACTCGAGAGCGTTTATCAGCATATAGAAACCTTGCACAAGGACGATGGTTGAGATGATGAGGTTTTTTATTGTTCACTAGGATATGGATCTTCGACGAAGACAGGGACCGGGGGGATCTGAGAGTTGCAGATTGAGTTATTCCCAATGTCAGGGAAGAGACAACTTACCTGTCTGTGGGGATTCGCAGGTCTCAACCTTGCTTCGGAACAATGCTTCTCCGACCGGGCTATTTTCTCCGGATTAACCCAGAATCCCACCTGTCGACCCACCTCATAGATGTTGATAGATATTTAAAGAACCAAAAACTTCTACGACTATTGCACATGGACTTGACTCCAATTCCACACCTTCAAACACCTTCAGCCTTGCAGTCTGATGTTTCTCTTTGGTATTTAATTTCTTATGGTAAGTTGACGCTTGTTTTTTTCTAACCCTTATGTTCTATGATGAAATTTCCCTCGTATTCGCAGTTTCCACGCAAGCCGTCGCAAGAGCCTTTTGACGTGCGATGAGCGTATAATACTTCCTTGGATGTCTGAGAACATGGCGAACTTCCGTTCTTTCTTTCGCTTCTAGTTCTTTGACTCTCAGGTTGCTAACTCGTAACAGGTAATGTCAAACTGCGCCAGTAGATATAGAAGATAGCTTAGGGTTAGCCTTGCCCATCATTACGAAGGCCTTGTTAGAAGGAGAAATTCGCAAAATCATACAATGCAACTGATCATGCGTGAATCATGTGAAACTACTGTCGATGTGGTTCTCCAAGTTCCTCTACCTGCAAAGGCCCGCCTCGCCGTTTCCTCATGTACCTAATGCGTCTTTCCGTCAGCGATCGATGTAATCGCTCTTAGTGTTAGCTGTTCATGCGTATTGAGGAGGCAGAGCCATTCTTATGTGATTGCTCCAGCTCCAGACAAATACTATGGTACCAGGCCGAAATAAGATACCCCTGTTAGGTATCTTACTCTAACACTCACCACCCTACTTATTTCAGTAGCGGGCATTACAGTACTTAGCCTAGCCAGCTGGACTGTGTGGCGATATTACCTAACTGGGGTATTTTATTTCCCCCTGCCACCCTGTAGCATGAGGGTGAATCAGTTATAAACGTTTTTGTTCACTTTTCCAGTCAGTTTGGGGTGGTCGTTCTTCTGCAGCTTCCGGTCTGATGGCTCCACCAACCCGAACATGGGAGTCTGGAAGACATGTCAGCTCATAGACTATGGTTGTCAACAAGCCTCAGAGATACTCGTTCCATAAGCCAGCCGAGCCATGACTCACTAAAGATGGGACTTGGCGACCGGAAAGTTGGCCAGCGTGTAGGAGCAGATCATGGTAGTAAGGGGAGTGGACTACTGAGAACCGCAGAGCATATGCTGTAAACAAGTCAGTACACCTGCAAAGTATTTCTGAAGCCAAGACTGGAAGTCCATGAGCCATAATAGACAGGGGAGATGATCGTTAAGTCTTCCCTGGCGTAAGCGGCACTCTCGAGTGAAATTGGATGAGATACAGGTACAGTTTCTCCCTGCGAAAGGGATAATTACCGTTACATCCACTTGCTCAATAAGTTACTGAATCCGGTGTGAGTGGACTTTCTCCGCCTTATGCAGGCAATCATTGATTAGTTCTGGAGACCCTGGCACGTCTTCCTGGACCTCTCTTAGGGTTTGTTTTGTTTCTTTTGACACCTTATTCTTCCGACATGATACATAGTATGCCTAGAAAGCGCTATGTCCTTTTGTGAATAAATGATGTATTAGTCGGTGAGCTCCCTTAGCCTATGCAACCTCGATTTCACACTGCCCCGCATCAAATGCTAAGCTCACCCGCCAACAACTCTTCTGGTCTGCAAAACATCGCATATTATAACAACCTAATCCCATCAATCTAAGTTTGAATCACAGCCGCCGACTTAGAAATGATGGACTAATTACAAACTAAGGATCTCAGCGCCTTGTCGGCGCAGTTCCGCAGTGCGGTGGAACGCCGCACGCACGAATGGGGCTTCGTACAAGTTCGTAGTCGTGCGCACCGCTTACGCGGCCGACAATGACGAAGCACACTGGGCCGCCGTGTTGAGAAACCTGCAAGCCTACGCTACGCTGGACGAAGACGACGCCGAGATGGACCCTGATACTTTTGTGCTGCCCGTCATAGCTGACAGCACCGCACTGCGCGGCGCCGACTACACCTCCGTGCGCAAGGCCTTCAACGAGTGGGTTGATGATTTCATACGCCGCGAGAGGCCATTGGACGATGACGACGACTACGACGAAGAGTGGCCGTCCGACGTGCGCCGCGACGCCTGCATCGTCATTAACGAGCCTGCGCTGGCTTCCCTACTCAGAGCGCCAGACTTTGTCCCTGGCAAGATTCCGGATCTCGACCTGGAGCCGTGGGTTGTCATTGTCGATGCCAGGGACCCGGCGAGCGTGCCTTACGGCGGGGGCGGGCCGTACATGAGCTTCATGCAATCGCACGCGCGCGTTCTTGGTCAGCTGTTTGAGGACCTCAGCTCGCGATCTCTGGCCCAGGCTGAGTCCTATTCAAAAGCACGACGGTCAGATCCCGCTTTATGATGGTTCGTCGTGGGGCAAGCTTGTCGATCCTGCTGGTGAGGCGGAGGGACGGTCCATGGTTCCGCAGGGCACGCCACGAGGAGCAGACGACGCACGAGCAATGTTGGAGGAGATTGAGCAAGCTGTGGGCAGGGCGGACGGCTCAGCTCATTGAACCTCATCAAGAGGGATGTTGCCCCATTTTGATAGCTACGTCATCCGCCCTCTGACACGCAGGTATAATATGGGTCTCAGATGGTACGGTTGAGGGTGATGCATGATGATACACAAATGCCCTCACTAATTCTATAAGCATTGCGCTAGTAAATCTATAAAGATAACACGTACTCTGAACGACAGATGATCTATAGTCTCGAGTGTAAAGTGATCGTCTAGAGCTTGCTCCTCAAGTTCTTCCTCTCATCCTTCTTGAACAAAACCTTACTGTTCGGGTTCGGATCAAAAACTACGCTGTTCAGCGGGTTGTCCTCGCTAGCGCGCTTGAACATATCCTCGTAGACCTTGCCATCGTAGCGGCCCAGACTGCTGTCCAGTACCCAGTCGTCGAACTTCCAGGAGTCAACCAGACGCACGGCGTGGGGACGAATCTCTTCCAGAAGAGTCATGACCGCCTTTGTCCTCGCAAGCGTGATCTGACGAACTGTAACGGCCGCCGAGCTGTAAAACTCACTGGCCTCCTGCTCGAGTGTGTTCAAGGCATATAGCCTGAAGAGCTTATGCAGCAAGCCGACTGTGTCCTTGTCAAGCTGCTCGGTCGTGGCCTTGTCGTTGAGCGCTTCATAAAAGTTCTTGACGACCATGTACTGCGCGTGCGCCGTGCTGAGACGCCAGAAGTCGACAAGCAGACTGTTCCAGGACTGCTTGTCCTCATCCCTATGGCGGAGGGCCTCGAACGTCAGGAAAGAGACGCGCCAGGCAAAGGCAGCGACGAGGTCCTCGTCCGAGTCGAGAACGTCGAAGGCGGCGCCAATGTCGCGCCGACGGAGGAACTCGGAAAGAATACGGGTGGTGTCGTTGTTGCCGTGATTGCCTTTCAGGACAGAGCGAGCGGACTTGAGAAGATAGCGGGAGACTTGCTGGGTAAGCATGTAGTTGTCTCCCTCCCACGTAAGTGTAGGAAGATAGTCCGCATACCATGACCCGATACCGCTGAAGGAGGAGTAGCCGTGGCCACCGCAAGCACGACGGCAAATTTCTAGACCCTCACCTGCAACGGTTGAGCCATAGGCCTTGAGCGCACAGGAAGTGGCATGAAGGTCGGCGAGGAGGTCTGTGCCAGGGTTCAGCTCCTCAGGTCCAGGGTTGCGGTTCCCATCGCTAGTCTTGCCCGCCTGAGCGCTCATTCGTTTCTGGTTTTCGTTGTAAAGGCTGATCATGCCACGGCCGGTGAAGTGGAGGGCAAACGTTGCGGCAAGCAATGGCAGCAGGCGAATCTGCACCATGGTGTAGTTGAGGACCTGGTTTTCGCCCGGCTCGTTGGCCGGGGCATCGCGGTCCTGGAACTGGCGGCGGACGGCGCAGTAGCGGGTGGCAATGGTGACACCCTTGGCGAGCACAGAGCCTGATTGGAGAACAATGTTGGATCGGACCCAAGTAAGAGTGCCGTAGATCAGCGAGGGGTTCGCCGGTCTGCTGTATTTGCTCGTATTCGGGTCGACGGACGAGAAACGGGCAAGCATGTGGTTGTGCGGGACCTTGACATTATTCAAAAGCAGGAAACCATTATCCATGGTGTTGAAGCCAAACTTGGGGCCGATATCGCCGACGTGAACGTTCGGAAGAGGCTCGTGGGTTTTCATGTCGCGGATAGGGACAACGAAAGGGTGGGGACCAATGTTCTTGCCGTTGAGGACCAGCTGAGCCATCACAACAGCATGCGTTGCCGCCTTGCCCAAGGAACCGATCCACCACTTCGAGGCGGTTAGGTGCGGGGAGTGCAGAACGAAGGTCTTGTCGGAGGGGTCCCAGGTGGCCGTCGTCTCCAGGCCTCGCACGTTGGAGCCGTGGCCAAGCTCGGTCTGGGCATAGCATCCGATGATCTGGTAGTCCAGTGCCGGCTCTAGGAAGAGCTTATGTTGTTCCGGAGTGCCTTGCTCGCGCAACGTGACGAGAAACATGCCCGCGTGCATTCCGTAAGGTGTCGCCTCGGCGATAAGGTCATTGGCAACCATATATTCATCCTGCGACCATTTGTGCTCCTTGTTCAGCTGGAAGAGCCTTTTGCCCCTCGCCAGCGCTGCCTCGATTCGGGCTTCGCGGCCACGGAAGTAGTTTTGGGTTTTGTCGAAGACAGGATCGTTCTTGAGGATGTTCAATATCCTCTCGTTGCGTCGGAGACCCTCGTCTGTGAACATGAACGTCGCAAGTTGGTCGACATTGAGGTTGGACTTTGCTCTCTCCTGAGCGAGAAGCTCGGTCCCCTGAGGTCCCGATGGCTGGAGGGCTTTGACCCAGTCTGGAGTGGTCGGCATACTGGCTGAGTACGGTAGTCGAGGATGGGGTAAGTAGAATTGGATTGGGGAAGACTTCCTGGGGAACTGGAGGCCTTCTGAGGTTTTGTAGAATTGACTTCTTCGACTGCGCGGTGTCCAGATCAAACTTACGTTTCGTCTTCCGGCTCGGCGACCCGGCAATGATGCTTTGGTGGGGAATGCCTCGGCAATTACTACATCAAGTTAGGGGAAGCCCACTGCTTCACGCGTCAACTCCATCTAGCCTGCGTTGGGATATCCCTGCTTCACGATACGGCCCACCAAATCTTGCTGTGTCGGCGTCCCGAAGATCGGACACGGTCGGCGCCGATTTCGATTCCCGAGGTGAGAGAGATGCGCACGCGCATAGCCGAGGAACATCCGGACTGCAGTGCCTGGGGGCTGAGCGACTGTCATTCGGCCATGTTGCGCCACTGCGCTGGTAACTTTGGCACAGACATGCGCAGATAAGTCTGACCTGGACATGTTTTTGCCTGGTGTAGACATTGGCGGCCAGAAATCGCGCAATCTAGCTCCGATTTGCGGAACAGTCTTCCTTAGGAGTAGCATAGCCGCTTTGGCTGGAAAGCTAACCTGTTACAGAAGTTGAAGAACAGTTTAATTCTTAAGTCACCCAAAACGCAATATCACCATGGACACTTCTATGACATCGGTAAGCATTGGGCAGGTGTGGTGTGAAGTTTACACGTGTCACGAGATATAGGTCCCAACTGCCGTCTGGCAATTGCGGTTCCACTTTCGTTGTCACAGCACGCTCAACATCTCATAACCCCGATTGGTACCTAGCGATGTTAAAGGTGTATTTTTATGCAGTGAGCGTGCTTCAAGGGCACTCGGTTCAAGAAAAGTTTTTTCAGGGGTGCCTTTCCGTTAAGATGTTGCAGCATGTCGACTCAGCATATCCTTGTACTTGCCACTGAAGCTTGAGTCGTCATAAAACACAGGTATGATCTAAGTCATTGTGAGATGCTACTTCAAGAGCATGTGATTATGGGTCAGTCGAAATGAATGTAGCTTATGTAACCAGGGGTGTTAGTTTCGTGACGAAGGCTTGCGTAGAACAGATGCCGGCTGGCTAACACCGCTGGATATTTCATTTACCTGGGGAACAATATCAACAATTTAAATAAACTGGATGTCTTTTCAATATAATGCTACATACCAAGAAATTAAGAGATCATAACCCTACTTGGCCATTCCAGCCGCCCAAGGCTTGTGAGCACTACAGACCTCCAATAGTAGAACTATATCGGTGAACCTTTCGATTTTGACTGATGCCGGGCATTCTGCTACTAAAGTGATAATAATGGGCATTTATCGTATTTTAGAGAATCTGGTGGGGCAGGTCAACGAGGATAAGCCGGCATGTCCTAGATTCTGGGTCATTTAATTTTACATAGTTTTCGGTCGCTTGGAAATATCACTTGCTCCAGAATAGACTTGCTGACCTAATCTTTCAGTACTCGGCGAACCATATAAGCAACTCACCATTAAGAAAGGCACAGCTGTGCCCGTGCAGCTGACATAATGATTCCTTTCAAAAGTATGGCCATTGAACTACCTCTGTACTTCTCTTAACGTCTTGTTGGTGACTGATACACCGTAAAAGCAGCCGCATCACGGCGGCGAAATGTTGGGCACCTGGTTCACAGCCCCCTCACCATCCGTCTGTTCTTGGGTTGGCTCTATTGACATCAAGTCTTCATTATAATAGACGCTTCCTGACACCTATAAACATAGTAACGCACTACAGAATAACCACAAGAATACTTTTGAAGAACCGTATTGATATCTTCAACAAAAAAAGCTAAAGCATGTCTCTGACAAAGAAGAGTAGAAAAAGTCAGAATGGCGAGGCAGGCGAGCTGCTGTGGCCAGATTCTGGATAACTTGCCTGCAATTCTGAAAGCAACGAAACCTATATCTGGGGTGTTGAAGTGAAAGATATCGACTATATCAGAGTGATTTGACTTCTGGGGTTATGCCAGATATATATCCATAAGCGGCAGTTGGCCTATTGAGTCATCCTCATGTGGTAGATGAGTGTAGTATCGCCCAGGCGATTGAAGAGTGTCAACACGTCCCCAAGAAGAAATGGTACCGAAAACATGCCTAGACGCTGCTTAGGTCGCTTTCTATTGAGCTACATGATGCGACATGGCTTCGATGTAAACGATGCCTTGCTTATATTCTTTCCACTTCCTTATTGGCCGTCAAATCAATCGCAGAGTTCCGGACAGGATTTTAGCGTCAAAACCCTGTTTACATGTATTTTCAGCAGCAATGTCTCCAGTCTTCACCAAGATGTGTGGGGAGAATTAACATCCCCTATGTAAATTGAGGAGAGAAAGCACATGATATTTCGCCGATGATGAGCAACGGCTCTCTTTCTCTCTTTCGTATTGCTCACTCCGTTACCCAAGAAAGGAAAAACTAGTGCTTCACAATTCCGTCCAACGAGACACCCATTTACATGCACCTGCTTCCACACAATCCACTCGGCAGAAAAGCCTGGAAGTTAGCCAATGGGAAGTTTCTTTTGGTTTTGGTAGTCTTTTTTGGGCGGGGGTGGGGGAGAAATTGTGTAGCTTAAATGCTGCTGCACATCTAAGCCTAGACAAGATGCTGATTCGAGGAAAAACATGTTCCTTCTCAGCTGTTAGATGACTGGCCAAAAGGAGTTCCTTGCTGAAGGCGGGCTGGGTATATGTTGGGGGGGGGGGGGGGGGGCACATTTGACGGGGATTTTATGAGTTACAATACAGCAACAGACTGCAATTCGTGGAATCATCCAGAATACGAAGCCGGCCTCCAATGACCCCTATAGTTCGTTGCGTCTCAAAATGCTCGGACTTGCGTAATCAAAGCTGCTTTGTCGTCAGGTATTCCGCAATTTCTCTAGCGTATAGATTGATCTCTTGATGGAAAGACTCTTGCGAGTTAGTCGACTGTACGAAGTTCAATGCTTGAAAGGGATGTATAAAGACCTGGCCCAAGAACCATGTTTCTGGGTTTTCAACCGCTCGGCACACATAGAACTCCAACATTAGACACTCTCAGCAGACTTGAATCCCGTTCTGTTATTTTGACCACCATCTGATTCTCCAGACATGAGGATCACCTTAGCCTTGGCGACACTATTCGCCCTTGCCGCTGCGACCCCAACTCCCACTGTCGACAATGTCGCTGAGAAACCTCACCTTGTCAAGCGTGCATCTATCTCGGACAAAGCGACGCTGGGATATGCTACCTTGAACGGAGGGTAGTCTCATGGACAGCCGCTTCTCCGAACGATAAGCTGATAGAGTTGTAGAACCTCCGGAGGGTCAGGTGGAACCGTCACCACTGTCTCAACCCTTGCTCAGTTCACTGCCGCTGTCAACGAGAAGGACACTGCGGCCAGAATCGTGGTTGTTCAAGGTATTATCAAGGGCACTGCCAACGTTCGTGTTGGAAGCAATAAGTCTGTGATCGGACTTGCTGGAGGGGGTAAGCGGTGTGTCCCAATGATTTAGTATGTGTATTTTGACTCACAAGAACAAATAGGCTTCGAAGGTATTGGTTTGCATATTCGCCGCCAATCAAACGTGATCATTCGCAACATCAAGTCTTTCAAAGTACTGGCTTCTACTGGTGACGGTGTTAAAATCGAGGTATGGTACGGAACATGGGGAACAGACAGACTGCGCTCGAGGGACTGACCAATATCCTTTTTAAGGAGAGCACCAACATTTGGATTGATCATAGCGAGTTCAGTTCTGCACTTGTGGCTGATAAGGACTACTATGACGGCCAAGTGGATGCCTCGCACGGAGCCGACTACATTACCATTTCTTAGTACGTTGACTTCTAAACCGTTCAAGCAGAAAGCATTCATAATGACATCCTCCAGCACGTACTTTCATGACCACTGGAAGACTTCCTTGATTGGTCACAGCGAGAACAACGGCAACGAGGATAGTGGTCATCTTAGAATAACTTACGCCAACAACTACTGGGCTAACTTTGGCTCTCGCGGTCCATCCTTGCGATTCGGCACCGGTCACATCTACAACTCTTACTATCTGAAGTACGTGCTATACTTTAATCTTTTAACTGAACACAACAACTACTGATAATGTGTAGTGGCAACTCTGCTATCAATACTAGACAGAAAGCTCAGGTCCTTGTCCAAAGCAACGTTTTCAAGAATGTCACCGTCCCGATCACCTCCCAGGACTCTGATATCGTCGGTTATGCTGTCGCAATTGACAACGATTTAGGTGGTGCTTCCAACCTTGCTCCCGTTGGCACGTTGAACGCCAACTCTCCTCCTTACTCTTACACGCTCCTCGGCTCTTCCAAAATCCTCGCAACTGTGCCGGGACAGGCTGGGCAGAAACTTATCTTCTAACTATCCCTAGCACCAAAATGTCATAAACTGCTAAGTGTATATTGTGCAATTGATTAGTGATGAAGTAGAATGACCCTTGAAAATGAAGGAACAATAAACTATTCAGTATAAATTTGGGCTCAGAATACACGGTTATTATTCGACAGAGCTTGCGAGCTGCTATCTGGGTACTCGTTAACGGGCAAGACACAACTGATGGACAGCCAATAGAAATGGTTTCAAGTACTCGATATCACTTTTGTCGATGATTTTGATCATCAGACAAGTCAATGTTATGACGTACATGGTATGGTTTTTTATAGACTATTAAATGGCTTGTATACTGTGTGATGACAAAAGCGGATCCACAGTTGTCACTGCTACGACTGTACTTGTATATCGTCACGACATACTGTTTTGTCAAATCAGTTTCTCGCCGAAGCCGGAATAGTTAATTCCAAGCTACCAAGAATATCATTGGCTTTTACGATTATCTTCAGTTATATCTACTCTTATCATACGACGTTCTTCAACTGTACCTATCTACTCTGGTACTTGTGCATGGCAAGATGAGTTGTCTCTACGTTCAGTCATCAAGCTGTGAGGGACATGGCAGGACTTGACCTGAACAGTTATCTAAGCAGGTTGTTCCCAAGTACTGTATATGATCCTGTATCCAAACGATGCACCTCAGACCATTGCCTCGAACTCTTGACTTGTAATGTTTCATCAAAACAAAACCAAGACTCCTTCTCTAGCATGCATTGATTTCGGCTCCATGGACTCTGAGTCTACTCGCAATGGCTACATCCCATATGAAGGTAATGTGATATATCTTGGTACTGTCATCTTTTTCAAATAAGACAGCACGAATATAATTCACTTCAATCTCAACTCTTCTTGCAGTGCAGGCTGCTGCGCAAGAACTTGAAGAGGTTGTTGAGGCGGGATCTGTAACGCCATCTTTGCTGCAGCCTTCTGCTCCTCGGCTTTCTGTTCAGCTTGTTGTGTCTGCAGCCTCTGGAGGTTTTCATGCTTTTCAATTTCTTGCTTTTGCTCTTCGGGAGACAGTGAATTGAATGCAGCAATGTCTTGGTCCCACTTCATGACGCACTCAATGTTCCAGTTGCACCTCTCGACCTCACCAAAGATAGGGTGTCTGAATCGGGGGTGTCGGCTGGGCCAGTTCGAAGCATGGTAGTGGTGTTTGACAAGGGCACCTCTGGAATTATGGTTTCCTGAGTCGGAGTGGCCTTGGCCTGCAGCGAACGACTCAACGTCGCGGACTAGGATATTGCTTACGACCTTCGACTCGTCGATATCGTGAAAGGTATCCCATGTTATTGGTCCGGAGCGAGACCGCGCACTCATCACATCCAGCACGGCTTTGGTGAAAGCTGAGGGTCCGGTGCCGCTGATGACCTCGTCGAAGTCAAGCTTGACCTCTGATATGGTAACGCCTTGAGTCTTTGCGACGTCACTGAGCCACGCCATGATATTTTCAACGAGCTTCAACATGACTGGATGACCGGGACGCGACATGAATGTCCATTGGCAGAAGGACATGGACTTCTTGCCAAGAATCGGGTGATTCTTGAAATGTGGTTGATCGATTTCAACACCGATGACGAGGTCGATATCTGCCTCGGCATACCGCTCTGGAATCCATCTGCTGACGGGCCGAAGATCCTCGACATCAATATCCGCATAGACTCCCCCCTCCGCGTACATTATCATGTAGCGAAGAAGATCAGCCTTGATTATGGTAGCGTTTACGTTGCGGTACATGTCGACAATGTCTGGGCGGTCAAATCCATCGGGGCCGTAATGCTCTTCGACGTATTCCATGTCGTTGTTGTCTGTGAGAACCTCATACCGGTAACCAGAATTCTTGTCGGTCCAAGTACGTGCGGTCAGAACCTGCTCAGCCTCAAAAGCGAACGGTGCGACCTTCCAAGACTGCCATATTTTCTTGGGAAACGCTGCTCGTCTGTTTAATGACGAATGCCGGCCGCGTCGTTTAGAGAGGTGGACCGGCTTTGGCATCGACCCAAATAAGTCAAGGTTTGCGACAAGAAGGATTATGCATATACAAGCTATGTACAAGGGTATGCACCTCCGAAGTTGCGTAGGAACTCTGTTTCTGAAGAGGTTGGCTTTCGTTGAGCCTATTGGGCTCAGTGGACTTAATGGGCTCATGATAGGCGAAGACATGTTGCTAGAGGTTATCGATAAGGATGTGTTCAGCCGAAGAAACAAAAAGCTTTTGGGATAAGCTTTGGAAAAGAAATACGACGAACATAAAGGGGGACTGGCGGGGTAAATGTCAAGGTTTGAAGGAGCTCCTTGCATGTAGGCACGCGACATCAGTTATCCTCTTCGCCGAGGCGAGGATTGCCCTACAGCCATTTGAATGTTCCCCTACTCGCCTTCAGATAATCCCCTCGCACATATGTCACTTTCACGAGCCGAGGCGCAGGGATCTAGAAGAGGGGGGAACGCCGAGGTTTCCTCAATGAATTTGCATCGTGTTGGTCCCGTACAGGCCTGATGGACGCCGTCATTGCGCTTGTTAATGGATTATGGAAAGATGTCCACTTATTTCTCTATACGAGAGAGGCAACAACGGGAGCTCAACAGCGCTCTCTCTCATTCGACGTGACGAGGAGCACTCATTGTAGCCGTCTGCATTTCGCGCTACAATAGGGCCGGGAGACCAAGCTTGTTTGAGATTCAATTGGACGATCGTGACCACCGGAATCACCGGCAACTATGGCCAGTGAGTGGCAAGTGGTGTAACTTTCCCAATCAAGAGTGTTCGATTTCCAAGAGCTAACACTGAGGCGATTCCACCTGCCGAGTGTGCTTCGGCCAGCATTGTGGTTCACAAGTCGGACTACTTACCTAACTAGACCAACCGATGCAACATCATTTGAAAAGACCAGGGGGGGTCACTCGGCCACCGTGCAGCTAATAAATGTGATATGCGTCATGGTGAAGGGATTCTGGTGACATTTGTCTTCACACCATTGATTTTGCTCACTTAGTTATGATCCTGTAGTTGGCTCTCCGCATTCTATCCTTGTCAATCCCCCGCATTTTGAACGAGGAACCCCCGGACGATTGGCGGAGCATTCGTTCTAGAGCAAGCCCAGCACCCCGCATACTTCAACTTTCGACCTCGGAACCATCCCAAGGTTTGACCTGTTCAGTCAGTAACTGATGCTCTTTTTGCCTGTGAAATTTGGACGAACAACTTGTTGACCGCAAACATAATCATGCTTATTTTCATACAGTAGCGCAAGGATCAACGCCAAGCCGGACTACACCCCTTCGCAGGTGACTTTTCGTTGACAACCGGCATTGAGCCCATGCAGAGTCCACTGATACTGAAAAGGGATGTGCCTTTCCCCCCAAACCAACAAATCCTTCGAAAGGCAAGGTCTGGAATATCCTTTGAACAATCACACCCGTCAGCACGCATTTGACATCGCCCAGATATTGAAGCTGAAACGTCAACCCCTTCACATTAACCACTCGTCGTATACAACAACTCGCAAGTCCATAGAATGTCTCCCAAAAATGATGGCATTCTTGATAGTCGAGATTGGGACGAAATCAAGCCAACCTGGTCTGAAAAGTCTAAATGGCTCGCCAAAGGCGTCGACTGGAAGCCAACCACACTCGCACGAAGCAAGCGGCTCTCACGCTTGAGCCTTGCCCGCCTCAAGTCCTTCATCTGGCCCATCGGATGTGCAAAGCAACCGCATGCTTTGCGGCCTACAGCTTATCTTGACGGACTTCGAGGATTCGCGGCTTTCCTGGTCTACTGGCACCATCACGAACTCTGGGCACACGAGCCGTATATCCAGAATCGCGTATTCGAAAATTCCTTTGGCTACGAAAACAAATACTACTTTGTCGCCTTTCCTGGAATACGAAATCTATTCACTGGTGGCCATTTCGCTGTGTCAGTATTTTTCGTCATCTCTGGTTATGTCCTCTCTGCCAAACCGCTGAGCTTGATTCAGTCTGGGGATCATGGCAAGTTGGCGGAAAACCTTGGCTCGGCCCTATTCAGGAGATGGATCAGACTATATCTTCCCTTGGTGGCTACCACGTTCATTTACATGGGCTTCCTTCACCTATCTGGCACTTGGGTTGAAAACAAGGATCGTGCATCGACTTGGATAGAGGATGTATGGCTTTGGTACTGCGAGCTGAAAAACTTCAGCTTTGTTTTCACCACTGGAGGCAGCCCTTTTTTCAGCTGGAACCCTCACCTTTGGTCAATCCCAGTCGAAATGAAAGGCTCAGTCATCATATACACCGCACTTCTCGCATTTTCTCGATGTACCAGAAACGCCCGGCTTTGGTGCGAGGCTGGACTCGCATTCTACTTCATGTACATCGCGGACGGATGGTACGGCGCCATGTTCGTGATGGGCATGGTTCTTTGCGATCTTGACTCTCTGGCGAAGAACAACGACCTACCGAATATCTTCAAAAGATTGGAGCCCGCCAAAACTTTCATCTTCTATCACTTGTTCCTTATTTCAATGTACCTGGGTGGCGTCCCGTCATACACCGGTGATGCCATGAGGATGCGCGAAAACCGTGGGTGGTATTACCTTTCCTTCCTCAAACCTCAAGCCGTCTTCGATTACAAGTGGTTTTACCTTTTCTGGGCTGCGGTGCTACTCGTAGCCTGTATTCCTCGTCTTTGGTGGCTGAGAAGGTTCTTCGAGACACGCTTCTGCCAGTATCTTGGACGGATCTCGTTTGCTCTCTATTTGGTCCACGGGCCTGTTTTGAATACACTGGGAGATCGCCTCTATACGATTGTGGGCTACTACAAAGACTCAGAACGGCAACACCTGGCACACTTGGTTGAGAAGTTTCCCTTGCCAAAGGTTGGCCCTCTTGGATTGGAGCCGGCCTTTCTCCTCCCCCACCTGGCCATCCTACCTTTCACTCTTTGGTTGGCAGATCTCGTCACGAGATTTATCGATGAACCTAGCGTCAGGTTTGCGCAATGGATGTACAGAAAGACACTCAATACTTCGGCGACGCCAGCCAAGGTCTAAGGCGAAATACTCGATTAATGCATTAGAGAACATATCTTTCAGATGAATCGAGGATTCGGGACATTACGGCACGCAGTGAGAAAAGAAATAGAAAATAGTATATAAATCTATAATTCAACAGTTAAAATCAAGAGGGCCCAGTAGTCCGATACACCAACACCATAGCCTTCGTGCTACCAGAGCCATCTCATGATGGGGCCGGTGGACTGCCTGAGCTTGCGGCTGTCCTTAGTCCCAGCTTGAGTGTCCATGGTGTTATCCCAACAATAGGCTTGCCACGCAGACTGTAGAGCTTACCGTGCAACATAGATAGGGCAACAGTCACGAACTCGCGAGGTGAGTTCCGCCTTCAAGAGGCTTATAGTACGCTAACCGATACATGGCACCCTGCATCTCATGCTTATGTATCCCCTGTTTGATGCACTACTGCATCCTACATCACAACCAGTGATTATGCAGGAACGGATGCATTGCCTAAATTGGACCTGGCGTGGACTGCCCTGAGGGGAAAACCTGACCCAGGTTTCGCGCAACACACCGAGGCATATGCATTCTCACATGTCCATGCGACAAGATTGACAAGCCTTGAGCAAATCATTGCTCCAATTTGGACCTTTTGGTATTATGAGCACACCGTCACTAGCGGCTATGCGTCTCAATGGACTCGACCCTCGGCCTCAGGAACGTGGGCGGCTGGGCAAGCTTTCGTAAGTGAGGGGAACACCAGTTGTCTGGTCGTATTCACTTGTTCGGTGCAACTAGTCCGCAGATCCCTATAATACGGCACGCATTTCCCGATAATGGCTGTCACAATTAACTTGTAATCCGTTACCCCGCATAGATTGGTGGGCCTGCTTGCTTCAACCCTGATTTCGCGACGGATTTGACTCAGCAGACTGTAGGCAGAGCTTTGCTTGTGCCGTTACTCCGGAGCACCTTTTCCCTAGCATTCAAATCTCAGTCAAGCTTGACCGTGTGGTAGCAGAAGCAAGTCTACACAAGAATTTCCTCACCTGTCTTTTCTCGTTGCAACCTTGATCCCAGTCTCATTTGATGCTCTGTTTCGCTACACGGGTCCAAGGCCTCAGCCCATAAGAAAAGCCACTCGCAATGCTAGCGAGGGAATTCAGGCGCGTCGTCCTCATCATCGGCCCGTTTATCTTCCTCATTTACGTTGGCATCCGCTGCCTCGACTCCAGGAACTCTTTAACTGTGTTCGATCATTGGTACGATTACGTCTTTGCAACAAATTGGAGACAGAAAGATGAACTCAAGCCTCACCAACAACTGCTGCCCTCGGGCTCGGCGACTCAACCAGGAAGCATGATTGAAGTTGAATCTCCTATATCAGCAAGGAAAACATATCACGAGATATTTTCAGCATCAGCAGTGGACAGAAAGTTCTTTCCTATACGTTTTGGCCAAGAAGAAGCCATCAACCCCAATGTCTTGCCCCATCCTAATCTCGACAACACATTCATCATCGTTGCACAAAAGATCAAAACAGACAATACACCAGAGTTTTTGGAGCTGGTTTGCAATGCAGTCTTTATGTTGGGAGGGCTGACCTGCGTTGGGCCGTCGTCCGTCCTCCCTATTACCGCTACAAAAAGTGGCGACGGCAAATGCCCCACTCAGTTGGCCTATATGGCTCTCAATGTCGGACCTCACGATGCGCGCGTCTTTTATGCTCCAAAATCTCCATTTATTATTTTTGGTTCTAACTCAAAGTTCGCATGCTTTGGGCAGTTTATACAAGACTTTCGCAAACTCGGAGACTGGGGCTTTGAAATGGGGTTGGACTCAGGCTTTGCCATCGGCACAGAGCTTCAGCGTCCCCCGCCCTGGGGCACAATAGAGAAAAATTGGTTTCTTTTCTGGGACGAGGATGGAGCGGCCTACATTCACCAAGACGTCTCACCAAAACGGGTATTTGCCAAACTGAACGCGGATGGCTCGGTGGGGCCAGACCTTGCGCCCTTGGCAGCTGGGGACGAGGCGTGTCTAAGCAAGTACATGCCAAAGCTACCACCGGATCTGGAGTCCATACATCAGGCGACCAACTCACTCAGTATCTCGTTTTGCAAAAGGAGTGACCTGACGTGCAAGGCCACCGGCGACAACACGTTTTTATTTACAGTGTTTCAACACAAGACGTTTTACCGCTTTCATAGTGAATATGAGCCTTATGTCATGGTGTTTCGGCAAAGGGCGCCCTTTGAAGTATTTGCAGTGTCCAAAAAGCCAATTTGGATTCATGGAAGGGAGGAAAGGCTTGATGGAGGCACTGACATGTTTTACGTAACATCTATAAGCTGGAAACGAAGGGATCTGAGACACCATGGTTTCCTAGACGACGTACTTTTTATTTCGTTTGGAATTGAGGATCAACGAAGCGGCGTCATTGACGTCCTTGCGATGGACCTACTGGCGGATCTTGGAGCATGTTTGTAGACTTGACGCTCACAATAGGACTGGGTGGCTCGCATTTGCCGCTCTATACACAGAACTTTGGCGACCAATACTGAGATGAACTTTACAATCCGCTACATCATTAGTACTATAACCGCTTGCAAGGTTCTGAATGGGGATTGAATTGAACACAAATGTCTCCAAAAGCCACCCTTCCTTGTTTTGTATCAGATGCATGGCGTGCTCGAAGTTACGAAACACTAAATAAATACTAAACAAGTGGAAAAGCATGAAGATAGTACCATTAATCCATTAATGGTACCGTCCAGAGCTTGCTGGCCTGGCCATACTGCCGAGTTCTACCCACGGCTGAGCTCGATTACGGTAAGCCTCTGTCTAGAAATATAAACCTACAACCCATAAGAGAATTAATGTCTGCAAACGGCGCGCCTCCAAGGGCCTCGAACATCGATGCTTGAAATTTCTGAGTGGTTCTCAGCCCCAAAGAGGCTGTTTTACTGTGGCGTCGTCTTGAGCGATACCGCATCCAGAACGGCAGCGATCAGAACATATCTAGGCCGAGTTTCCACAAGTAGTCCAAGACTGAAACGTTTCCCTGAACTATCAAGAAATTTGATAAAAAGCTAAAGATTCGACTGTCAGAAATTGAATAGGCGTAGGCTATTGGCTTCTGGAATGGGGTGGACTGGAATGACGTAAAGAAGACGCCGCATTTGAATTCAAAAACCGATTAAAAGTGTCTTCAAGCAGCTAGCGACAGTATTCCAACTGCAAACCCACATTACTATCCTCAAATTCCGCATTAGGCCATCGGACCATGAGCACCCCGAGATAGTTCACATGCTATTACCAATGGAGTCAACGAGAACAAAGCAGCAAAGCCATTTGGGCAGTAGTCTACACCCAAGAGCATTACTGTCCAGTCTGAATGCAGGATTTTGCCACCAGAATTCCCAACAAGTGTCAGTCTTTGGCGGTTCTGCCGATCGATACATTCCTTGCTTGTTTTACCCTTATTAGCGGGATATCCCTGGATATGCCACCTCTTCGTTCTCAACGAGATTCCACCACATCTTTAAGTTTCTGCAAGAGTCAGCTGACTGACCAAGCCTCTGGATTCCAACAACCTTTCGACGTATAAACGGGACAATTTTCCCACAAAGTTGCTTGCTAGCCAGATGAGATGCCCAACCTTGAAATCAAGATGATCAGCCCTGACCATTCTTTCACTTTTGTGAACTTGGCGTCAAAGAGCTTCGACCTTGTTCAACGTTCGCTACCTACTGCGCCGGACGTGCGGATAATTCAGGAGTTACCCGATTCCACAGTTTTAACAAAAGGTGGAGAGGCAATCATGTCATGGACGAAAGGATGCTACTTCGGAAAGAGCGGCCGCGACGACGTTATGCTCTGCTGGCAAGAGATGGAGGCATTGCAATCGTTCTGCATCGGCATTGAGTCGCCTGAGAGGGGGTTTTTCAAGCCCATTCGGTCACACTACAAGATCAAGTACAATGACGGAAAGACAAATAAGGATTGGTTTTTCCCTTCCGATAACCCTGGAGATCCATACACTTTCCCAAACACGATGGACGTCAACATCAGGGTTACAAGTCATTCTGTGAAGGATCAGCTCGAGCTTGAGATCATGATTACGGATAAGAGTTCATCAGATCTCAAACAGTAATGGTATGTGCCTAAACAACCTTCATTGAGGCAAGCTCTCAGCACAAACCCAAAAGACGCACTAGAGTCACCGTGTTAATGATCTATCAAAAACCGTTAACAATTTGTGGCAGACATTGATATTTATCTTCCAGTACACCAATTTAGGCATATCTCGAAAAGCTTTGATTATTGAAAACACGAGGTTGCGGGAGTTGTTTTTTTCGGTCAGGTTCAGGTGCGATGTTTTGTTCTCGTCGGGATATGAAAATAATCCAACTGAATTCTTCGGTTTTATCATTTCAAGCTTGGTCGTACCTTTTGGGGCATTTTGTAAACCACTGACTGCCGTGCTGCACGGTTCATATATCACAAAAGGATTATACAAGACTTACTTACCTATCTCTTCCTTTCATTACTGTGTTTTAAACGAACATCATAAATGTTCCGCAGTACTTTGACTTCCAATTCGCAGAAAAACAACAATAGTATAATAACCATGTCAATGTGGCAGTAGCCACATTCGCTTTTTATATCTCTATATGAAGAAACAGCTAGCTGGTGGAGCTTGCATTAGTAGCTCTTCTCTCTAAGTACAGTAGCATTTTGTCTACAGGGATCATTAGGTGAATCGACTCCTTTAAAGCTCAACATTAATCCAAGAAATCTGTATGTGTAATTTCTTCTATGGTACATGATGCCTAACAGGTTAAGAAGGTCCTGCCATGTCATCCTACTCGTAGTAGGAATCATCCTGTCATAGTAAGCCAGTTTGATGGGGCGATTGGTTTAGTGGTATAATGACCGCTTAGCATGCGGTAGGTCCGGGGTTCGATTCCCCGATCGTCCACTTTTGTACCATTTTGTTATATTTGCTGTTTTGGATTTTACTGATGCTGTTTATCAGCAGGGTCTAAATTGTTGCTTTCACCTGCACATTGTGCAGTGTTTGTCTAGGGCAGCGCCAAGGCCCTACTTCCTGAAAACACTAATGCAAGTGGCGTCACAGGATGCATTATTACTTATTCTAGTCACTGTGGCTACTTACAGGGGCTAGTGCTAGTAATAAGTAGGAACACATTGTCTTGCTGCTAAGATAAAGTCAAAAACTAGGCAGCAACATTAAATTCCAGCTGGTTTTACTAGCTCTGACCACCCTTATCTATGTATAGCTTTATAGCACCTAGGTAAACAGATCCCATTAAGTGCAAGTAGACCTCACTGACCCCAAGGTGGATGGATCCCTCTCCACTTTTACCCCTCACTTTTAGAGATACATAATAATACATTATTTTAGAATACTATTTTCTTACACACTACTACTAAATCTAACATTATTACTAACATCTTTATTAATATTATAATATCCTCTAGTTTAAATATCTCTTTTTATAGCACTATTTATATAGAATTCTTGCTAAAGATCCTTACTATTTGAGTATTACCTATCTAGACAACTATTACTTAGAGCAGTAAGCTTTAAGAGAAGTACTAAGTAACTATGACTAGTAACAAAGTTACTTAAATTAATAATATACCTTGATATAAAGGTAGAGATTATAGGTACCTTTAGTATAGGTAAAATACTTTATAGATAGAAGTACCTTAAAACTATTAGCTTTCAGACTTAATTACTGTGCTGTGATTTACCCCTACCCCTCACAAGGGTTAGTGAGGTCTGCTTGCACTTAATGGGATACTGTATCCGTATCCTCTCATCAAATACGAAGTCTGCACGAGCCATACGCTAGTCCTATTTATTAAAGGCGGTCAACCTACCTACACACATAGCCACATATGTAACCCTAACCCTTGCCACCTAACTTGCTGCTGACGTAAATGACTCCGCATTTGCTACATCTAGATCCCTGTTTCTGCCAGCCCGCTTACCCCTTTCCAGCAGCCTGTGGCCTGTGCGGAATAACCTTGGCCATTGTTGTTTTTCACCCGAAGGAATGGTAGGGGCAAAGTCACAGTTAGTATGAGTCCGACTCAGCCTCTTGAGAGCCAAGCTGACTCGGTATTCAATTGATGATTTCTGGGTTAGTGAAAGGAAGCGGGAGCAATAAGGGTGGATCATCCCTGTTCGTCTCCTTCCTGTCTGACGTTGCGCTTACAATGTGTGAGAAGCTTGTTAGCTTGCTTAATAGAACACGAGCCCCCCTCAAATCAGGAATGTACTAGGGGGTCTAAAGATTCTCTCCAGCCCTCATCAAGCACTTCGACAAACCCCAAAGTCTTAACCCATCATGGCGTTTATATCGCATCTTTTGCCGGCCGTCACGAGCATGTCAGGCATCAGCTTGTTAGCGCTCGGTCCTATTGTATTCTTGTACCTCATCAGCCGAGCGTTCTACAGCGTCCCGTATCCCAAAGGAGTTCCGCTCGTTGGTGAGCCTGACGGCGCAACGAGATTCAGTATTCGTACATACTGGCGATACTATACAGACTGTGAAGGCGTGTTTCGGGAGGCTTATGATAATGTATTCCACTAACAGCTCTCATTCTCTATAATCCAGCTAACTCGAAGTCCAGTACGCCAAGAAGGGCAAGCCAGTGGTCGTCCCCGGAATTGGATTTCGCCATGACGTAATTATGCCTACGAGTTATATGAGGTGGGTGCAGAATCGACCAGAAACAGAACTGGATCTGAACCAAGCCTTTTGCGAAATCGATCAGGTGTCCTGGGCGCTTGGGCACGACCGCTACATTGCGGACCCATGGCATGCAACCTTGGTTAAGACTGAAATTAATGCTGTGCTGGAGAATGTCTGTGCCGCCTTGAATGAGGAGCTCGGCGTTGCTTTTGATAAATGGTTTGGGACTGATCATGAGTGGAAAGAGATTGATCTTTTTGAGTCGGTCAAGATGGTTGTAGCTCAGGCAGCTAGTCGCTTTACGATTGGGCCTGATCTCTGTAGGTACTCTAGACAGGGTATTGGGCTCATGTGCTAACACCTGCCAGGCCGTAACGAAGAGTACCTGAACCTATCATTTGACATAGTCAACCAGCTCATTTTGAACGGAGGAGCTACGGGTGCCAGTCCTCGAGTTCTGCGGCCCATAGTCGGTACTCTAATCAATTTAAAAATGCGCAGTAAAATCAACAAGCTCAGGAGAATGTTCGAACCGGGCTGGAAAAAGCGGATCGAAACGTTAAAATACGACCGAGACGACCCAAATCATGTTGAACCACAAGACCACATGCAAATGATGGCTCGCTACGCCAAGGAGCATCGCCCGGAGGAGTTCAACGACGTCGACATGATGGCACGACGCTTGATCGCAGCCAACTTTGCCTCCATGCACCAAACCAGCATTCAAGCCACAAACATGCTACTCAACATCTTGGGCTCGGACTCGGAGTTCAATACCATCGCTACTTTACGGGATGAGGTCAATAAAGTTCTGTACGCCGACGGGAACGACGGGAACGACGAGTGGACAAAGGCCAAGGTCAGCAAAATGGTCAAGGCAGACAGCGTGGCACGAGAGACCTTGCGACTCAATAGCTTCGGCGGGCGTGCTGTCTTTCGCAAGGTCATGGTCGATGATTTCAAGACACCGGATGGATCCCACTTGCCCAAGGGCACCGTGATCTCTTTCCTCGGATTACCAGTACAAACAGATAGCGAGTTACTAGAAGACCCCCTGAAGTACGACCCTTTCCGTTTCTCCCGCATGCGGGAGGACGCCGCCGCGAAGGCGGACAAGTCGCCGTCACTCTCCTTCGTCACAACCAGTCCCGAGTTCCTGCCATTTGGCCACGGAAAGCATGCATGCCCTGGTCGTTTCCTCATTGACTTTGAGTTAAAGATGATCATCGCCTACGTGCTGGGATACTACGACGTGGAGTTTCCTCCGGAGTATAACGGCAACCGCCCTAAAAACTATCGGGTGACCGAGGCCTATTTTCCGCCAGATGGTGCCAAGATACGAATTAAGAGAAGAGTAACCGCCAACAGGGAATGAGAAAATGCGTCGGCGGATTACAGAAAACCGGGCATTAGATGCGGCTAAGGGTGTTCAAGTTTGATAATGCTACCGCGGGACATGAAACTACGTATTTATGGAAACGTAGAATCAGAGAGCCAAATCCTCACGATTAGCCCAAGAAGTTAGGCTGATTCGCTGCGGCTGCAATTCAACATGTCAAAATGGATTTGAACACATGTTACTTGGATCACAGAGTGAAGAATGCATCTGTGAAAACCGTGTCTTGGCTATAAACTTCAAATGGGGACCTAGGCCTCCGCATGAACTGTATAAACAAATCAAAGAGATATTTCGCTTTCAGACTTTATGACGCATTTTGGCTGCATTGATCCCTGGATTCTAGACTAGACACACTGGGAGTAGAAGTCATTCAGAGCTTGACAGGTAGATCCAGAGGCACAGGTCGTCGGGCCGGACCACCCCTGGCCACCGCACTGGCCGTACTTGGGCACAGTTGCGCCGCCGCCGCCGCCGCCGGGAGCACTTGTCGTGGTTGTTGCGGCTCTAGTGGTAGTCACCGGCGCTGGCCCGGTAGTCGTCCGCAGTGTCGTAGTGGCGCCGCCGCCTCCACCGTTGCCAGGGTTGCCTCCAGGAGGCGTGGCGCTTGATGTCGCTATCGGTCGGACGGCACTCTGGGCGACCGTTGACGGGAGGCCTGCTACGAGCGTAGGGCCCGGCATCGGGTAGACTAGAGGGCTGGTATAGATGTTGAAGAGGACGCCGGGGTCGTTGGCCTTGTATAGCGAAGTACCCTTGACGCCGGCGGGGGCGAGAGAGCCGCCGCCGGTGACTTGTAGGTTGAAACATTGGGGGTACGCCTGAGCGCCATTGGGGTTCCCTCCGGAGTGCAGAGCAATTATCTCATGGCGGAGAACGTAGTTCCCGGGGGCAAGGTCGGCCGGAATCTGAAGAGTCCAGGTGAAGCCGTTGCCAATTAGCACATCATCAGCCCACTTGCCGTTCGAGAGCGACATGTCGACAACGCCACCAGCGCCAATTTTGAAGAAGTTCAGCGAAGTTTTGTCGACAGTTTCACAGTCTCCGTTGCACTTGGCGAGGTAGTCAATGACGGGACCCTTGTGCGAGTCGGGCCATGTGTTCCAGATGAGCTGGATCTTGGCTCCGGCAGGCACGGTGGCATGGCCGCCTGCCGGGCTGCCGTTCTTGTGGCAAATGATGTCGCTGGTGCCGAAATTGGCGGGCTCAACAAATCCATTGTCAGGGACGTCGATCTTCCAGCCAACGACGGGGTATGTGGGAGCAGAGTAGGTGAAGGCGGGAGAATCCCAACCGCGGTAGGCAACAGCACCGTCGACCACAAGCCAGTCCACATGGCCGTGAGCCGAGACGGTGGCTGCAAGTGCCAAGAGAAGAGATGGAAGGTTAAGGTTGCCCATATTGGTACTTGCTCAGGTAAGTTGACAGTAATAGAACTATGCAGATGATCCCACAAACCTGGTTGATGGTGAGCTGGCAGGTCCAGGCAGAATGCGCTCTAGGGAAGAGAGAAGCGCAGCATATATAGAACTTCGTTCGGTACCGCAGCCACCAAGCTAACGGTTGCAGAAGAACTTCGACGGATATTAACTACCAGCCCAATGTATTAGTCAGAATACTGTTGAACCATCGTGACAGGCATCGTGTCATCATAAGCCCGTCGCGAAGAGAGACTGGCGTGGTATGTCAGTGCCGTCTTCCGAGTCTGGACCAAGTCAAGACTGGAGAACCAAGTAATCTCTCCATTCCTCCTCGAACTCCTACGTGACGACTCTGCTTACCATGCGGCAACTATGCATCACGAGCACAGACAAGAACACGCTATGGTGGGATGCATTCATCCGTGACGCCTGGAACGGGCGCTGGACATGGCATCCACGTTGGCGAAATTAATTGGGAGCCACATTGCCGACATAAAAGGCACCTTGCGCAAGAGGGCTGGGAAGTAAAGCTTGCATAGTTCTGAAACGGCTGGCAACTAATTAGTGCCAAGGAAGAACAGTGTCTGGAATAGGAAATCTCGGTCGCTAGGCACCGAGAGGGGCTGCCGAGTTCGCATCATGGGACCGGAGATATCGGGTTACGGTGATTGGTGGGCGGAGGAATGGTAGCTCGGTTGAGTCTTGGGCCATGTAGCACTACACTCCGTTATCCAGGAGCGGTCGCCTCAGCCAACTGCTCACCTTGTTCTGGCTGCTTTGTTGCCAGCTTGGGACGAGGAGGTAAATAAATGAAGGGGCGTTTGTCATTGGCGTGTTATTCTAAGCGCCAACCGCTAGCCGCCAAGCACAAAATTGTACATACACACTCTTAAGGCTAAGATTTAATTTTTTGCTTACGTTGGTGTTGCTTGCCTAGAGGATAGTTGCAAACAAAGAAAAGAAAATACATCTTTATGGACGGGTGTTGATAGCTTTGCGGCCCGGTTTGTATCAATATTTCTCAAATCCTCTCTCTTTAATCCGACAGAGTTTCAGGCTCTGTAGTTTTTACTAGCTTTATCAGAGTTAAACGCAGGAAACCGTCACGGGATTCCCAAGCAAACACTTAGGGAACGCGCGGTGAAAGCAAGGATTCACTATTGTTGTCCTAAATATGAACACAGCGCCACCCCGAGGACTAGAGTCGACTAGGAGTGGGAGCTCGCAGCCACCGGCCGGCGTGTATGCTCTCGGCAGATCGACATGGAACAAAATCAGGCAGGAATTAGCGTATTAATGAGCAAATAGCTAAATCCATTTCCTTCTTTAACGTTAGAAAGCCGTATCTAATACCACCGAAGCAACTTTCTCTAGGCTTTCGACTACACCTTATAGTGCCTCCTGCAGTTGCGAGGCCTTATCATGCGTCTATCGAAGCTAAACTACACCCTCCATGCTTCTAATATAGAAGCTAGAATCTACTCTAAGGGGTAGGATCTCAAGAACCCCCTTCATCCCCTCTAGACCTACTTCTAGGTCCTAATGCCTTAGGCTCTAAATAAGTACAGTCTATAGTGTAGAAGCCTAATCTGCCTCACGATTTCGTCATAGTTGTCTTAGACGGAGCTAAGCTCTAAAGTCCGTAATCGCCAGATATGTATCTCCACTAGAATAGTGGTTTTAGTTTCTAGATACGGTAATTAATTAAGTCCGGGAGTCTACACATTCTTTAGAAAGGGAATCTTTAGGACGGAATACTCTTGTATAAGGCTAAGAGCTAGTTCGTGGTCAAATTCCTCTTGACGGCCATTGAGCACCATCCTTTGATCACGCCGCCCCAGTTCAACCTAAAACTGACTACTACCACCAGCAAACTGATAAACCACCAAGCTGCTTGAAGAAAAATCTCTCAAGGCAATAATAACCTCAGAGCCCACCGCCACCACCATGTCTGCCGCAATCCGCGAGTCCTCCGGATCGGCAGGTGTCGTTTCCTTCGTCAAACATCAGGCGAAGCCATATCCAGCCGTCGATCCCCTCCAGGCCGACCTGTCGGGCACGACAGTCGTCATCACCGGCGCGTCCAAGGGCTGCGGCCGCGAGGCGGCCATAGCCTTCGCCCAGTCGGGCGCCAGCAACATCGTCGTTACTGCGCGCTCAGACCTGTCGGGCGTGGTGGCGGACATAAAGAAGGCGGCCCGTGAGGCCGGACGCAAGGCGGAGCCCAACGTGCTCGACGGGAGCGGCGTAGACATCACCTCTGCCAAGGACGTTGAGGGCCTCGCCAAGAGAGTAGCTGAGAAGTTCAATGCCGTCGACCTGCTCATCAACAATGCCGGGTTCCTGTCCACGTGGGCACCCCTAGCCGAGACCGACCCGGACGAGTGGTGGACCAACTGGGAGGTCAACATCAAGGGGGCGTACCTGCTCACCCGATATTTTATTCCACTTGTGCTGAAATCGCACCTCAAGACGGTCCTCAACATCACCAGCATCGGGGCCGTCAACCTCGGCGCCGGTGCCAGCGGGTACCAGACCACCAAATTTGCCTTGTGCCGGCTCACCGAGCATATTGCTGCCGACTATGCGGACCAAGGGCTGATCTGTGTGGCCGCGCATCCCGGATCATATCTCACGAACATGGGCAAGAGGTTGCCCGTGCACCTGCATGAATATCTCACGGACGATGTTGTGGTGGCCGGGCAGTGGATGGCGTGGTTTGCGCGGGAGAGGAGGGAGTGGCTCCAGGCGAGATATGTGTCGGCGGTATGGGATGTGACGGAGCTTGAGGCCCGCAAGGACGAGATTGTTGAGGGGAATAAGCTTAAGTTTAGAATGGTGATCTAGGATCGTGTTGTTGCCGCAAGCAAAATGACTGCAGGTTTAGAGGAGAATAGTGGAAGAGAATGTCGACCGCTCAGCAATAGCAGGCAGATAAGGTAAATAACGAGGAGTTCACAGATCGTAGTTTCCACTTCCTAGACTACATTCTCTACATCTCACTCCTATGGAATTTTATTTTGGCTACAGGACAAAATCTAGCTCTATACTATATAGAACAAACAGTGTCCCTCCTACTTCTTAATAGTTAAGAATAGCCTGAAGGTCTAGAGTTACCTATGGAAATTGCCTCTTCTTCTAGAATAGTTAACTTTGTTAATTTTCAATACATCTTAGCTTGTAGGAGTTGTCTAGTGCGTTAGCTATAAAGCGTTAATTTAGGGACCTTAAAAGTAATAGCTACTTTTTATATAGACACTTCTAGGTCGTTTCTTGTAGCTTAGATAGCAAGGATAATTCAGCTTTCTTTAGAAGAAGAGTTTATATTTATAGTTAGAAAAAAGTAGGTGTAAAGGTTAAAGACGTATAGAGACAGTAGACATACACAACTCACTATGATCTGCAACTTACTATACATGTACGTTAATATAGATAAAACCCTAATTTAAAAGACTAGATATCTTTTAGCTAGAAACTTGCTTTTTTAAAAATAACCAGGAATTAAGGTATTACTAGCGATAAGAAGTAGTTCACTCGCTTGTGTAGTTTATTCGCTTGTGAACTATATTAGCTAAGATTGATACTTAGTAATAGTAATATAGTGCTATCCTCTTATGAACGGGTACATTAATGTCACGCAACAAAATGATGCCCTTAGTTACGTGGGCAGTAACCACACCTATATATCGTGATAATCAATGACTACTAGGCGACACAGAATCGCGCAGAGCAAGTAGCAGCAACGAAGACAGGAGACTACAGCTCATGGCCGAGACCCAGTCACCATATCGGTAGCTGGAAAGAGCTTGCCTTGAATACCAGGACGGACACGATCCAAACATTGGGCGTTGCATCATAGATAACCAGCTAGTTGCTGAAGTTTGCGGATCGTTTTCCATAATAGCTGTCCGCGAGTACTTGTTCCCGAGGAGTTGCTACTGTCGTGCTCTAGGTCTGCCTTTAACATAGCGGGCAGTAGTCGATGGCGCACGTCCTTCCTTGTGGGCATTGTAATCGGAACGGTGTAGATCAAGGAATCTGGGAAGTGGGAGTTTTTGTGGCAACACAAGGGACAAGGCATCCACCGTCATAGACCGCCAGTCCAGCTTTATGATCTGCTTCCTCAATCCAAGCCTTGAAGCTGCTGTCGCTGAGTATGATAGCAGTGGACGGGCGGCGGTGCACATTTGGATCGATGTTGCTAGTAATTGTGTATCATGATCTCCGGCTAGGTGAGAGTGCTGACGTGCCTCGGTGCTGAATATACCATAGTATCGGCAGTGGCACTTCGAAGTCTCCACGTTGGGCTGTCAGCGTTGGAGAGAGCCGCATTTGGGTCTTCGAACACCCCTTGTTGAGGGGTCGATGATGAAGGCTGCCAGCCAGCAGAGTGAGCACTTCAAAGCGGTAAGTTAGATGACCGTGAATCCCACTCAAGACCTCAAGGTCTATCTGAACATACTCATTCTGGCACTTTCTGTTCTGCGGCAAGACTGTATGAGTTGAGCACTCGGTATTGCAAATACTGATGTCCGGCCGTATGACATACAGGAGATCGTTGATTCATTGCGGAGAAAGTCTTGATGAAAACAATCCAGCTCAACGCCGGGTTATGGACTGTCGCCTCGTGAACTCGATTGCAGCATCAAAACACACGGTGAAAAGTACGCGGAGCGGGCGGATGTAGGGTGCGTCCAAAACATTGAACGTATGTTACATTATCTTTTCTAAATAGAAGAGCAGCTAGAGCAGTTAAGCATTAAATAGATGTCTTCTTAGTCTCGACTTTGTACCAGGGCCGGTGAAGCCCGTGAGAGGTGACAACGTCTAGAAGGCGAATTCCATATCATGATTGGTCTAGATAACCAGCGGCAGCTAGCCATAGACAGAATAGGAAAAGAGAAGCCAGGGGAAACAAAAAGAGACCTTCGTCGTGGCCTTATCTTTTTGGGAGGCTCGTCGACGAGTCAGTTAGAGTTGCGCGGATGATGCGTCCTGGACTTTTCCACTCAAGACAAAATTAGCGAAAGATAGAGCTTGACGGACGGATCCAGACCAAGGCACAAGCGCTATCAAACCACGGGAACCCCCACGGGTTGGCCGCCACTGAGCCGGGATGCACCCCTGGATGTCCCCGTCTCTACCCTATCAGGGCCACGCCGCCCCCGTTCGGACCATCCAGCTCCCTGCGGCGCCGCCGATGGCAGACGACGGGGGGTCCACGGCATCCCGGACGGTGATTTGAGCTTATCTAGGGCGTTAATACCTAGGAGGTGTTGAAGTCCTTCAAAAAGGTCGAGACCGCATCTCGAACGGCAGATCGGCATAGACAGAAACGAAACACCCATATTTCATAATGAAGATCCCAGCAGCCCTCCTCCCCCTCGCCGCCGCCCTCACTGGCGCGGTCGATCTGGCGTCTTACCAGCCCGCCGCGGGCGTCGAGGCTGGCTTCAGCGGCTTCCTCAAAGAGTTCTACACCACCATGGAGGATCAGTCCGCGACCGACACCTTCACCGATTTCTGGCCCTCCAACGGCCTCGGCGAGTTCATCTACCAGGGCAGCCCGTTCCCCGGGCCCACCAACATCCTCGGCATCAAGCAGGCGCTGCTCCCACGAATGGGGAACAAGCTCCTGTGGAACCTGATCCGCGGCGCCTCCGTCGTCTCCGACGCGGCGGGCGAGAAGACGTACCTTGTCGAGATTGTGATCCAAACGTCACACCCCGCAGGAAACTGCTCGCAGGCATAGTAAGTTTCTATCTCCACCGGATGGGGGAGGGGGCCATACAGCGCACCCGGCGAAGTAAACTAACCGATCGGCAGCGGCGATGCGAGGTTCACCATGCTCAAGGACGAGGACGGCTTTCCGAGACTGACACCGCACTCCGGGAGCTTAAGTCAGTACAACCTGACGGTCTCGACAACGGACTCGCCCACGGATATTCCATGCACTCTGACTTGATAAAATTACCCTAGATAGCATCCATAACAAGTTCAGCGTATCATGTTTCACGAAGCGTAAAAATAGGCATTATTCAAAATCTATAATTCACACATGCCAGACTACATGTAGCATGTCTGGTTCTATCGTATCGTGACTAATCAGTAATATCTAGTAAAATGGCTCACTCTGCTATGCAATAAAGACAGGGTTGTGCCTTTGCACATGTAAGTTTTTAGTGTCGTCCGCCCAGAACGCCCTGAAAAAAAAAAAGAAAAAAAAAGACTTTGTTATGCTGAGGCCGCCCACCACACAAGGTTAACTAACACTGGTCGTAAACTCATTCCAAGGCAAAAGACAGCAAGAAGCAAACATGAAATACATGACATCGTAGCCAAAGCAATATGATAGGTCAAGAAAAAGTATAAATGCACGCGATGGTCTCAACGGGGCCTGAGAAAACATTTCAGACAAGGCGCTTCTCGTCGTCCCTGATGGTCGCGGTTTTGTTGTCTTCGGGCTGGGTGGAGATGATGATCTCAGGTGCAGTGACCTTGGAGTCGTCGGAGGCAGAAGAAACGTGAGCCTCCTCGTCGGAGGCGGCGTCAGCGGACTTACTACGGCGGAAGACAGCGCCGAACCTCGAGAAGAACTTGCCAAAGGCGCGGTAGACAACTACGACGGGTCGGCCGACAGTCTTGGCCGTCTTCTCGAACCAGGGGTCAGGGAACAGACGAATCAGAACGGCGATGGGGAGGGAGAGGGCGGCCAGGATGATGGAGACAGCCCAGTGCTCGGCGGTGATGCCGTCCTCGCTGATGCGGAAGGCCCTGCCGCCGACGTAGATGATGGCAACCTGGGCGCCGACCATGATGCAGTTGATGATGATGAAGAAGATATTGCGGTGCACGCCTTCGAAAATGTTGAACTTGTTGTCGAGGCGACGGTTGTTGAACTCATTGAAGATCTGCATCCAGACGAAAGTGTTGAAGACCAATGAGTCGAGCTCGAGCTGCTGCTTCTCGTTGAGAGGGTCGTAGCCGAAGATGGAATTACCAGCAAAGTGCAGGATGAGGGTGGCAGTTAGCTGGAAGATGGCCTGGCCTATGATCATCTTCCACATATTGATGGTGATGAGAGGTGCTTTCTTGCCCTGAGGCAGGCGGTCGAGGATCTTCTCAGTGGGGGGGTCCGTAGCCAAGGCAAGAGCAGCAAAGGTATCCATGATAAGGTTCACCCACAGGAGCTGGACCGCAGTCAAAACGGACTCCATCTGGGGGGAAGAGACGGCGGTGATGAAGGCGAGAAGGACGGCAGTGATGTTGACCGTGATTTGGAACTGTGAGTCATTGTGTTAGTGCCGGCATGCGTACAGGGACTGATGAGTGATGCATACCTGAAGAAACTTCTGGACGGCGTCATTCACTGCTCTTCCCCACTTGAGGGCCGTGACAATTGAGGTGAAGTTGTCATCCATCAGAACGATAGACGACGCCTCCTTAGCGACTTCGGTACCAGAGATACCCATGGAGAAGCCCACATCCGCAGCCTTGAGGGCAGGTGCATCGTTGGTACCGTCACCAGTCACAGCAACAGTCTCGCCAAGAGCCTTGAGGCGGGTGACCAGGACGCGCTTGTCCTCAGGCGAGGAGCGGGCCAGAACCTGCAGGCGGGGAGGATCTCGTTCATCTGCTCAATGGAGAGCTTGCGGAAGACGGGCCCCTCCATGATGAGGCCTCCATCGCTGTAAATGCCACATTCGGTTGCAATGGCCTGGGCAGTGACGGCGTTGTCACCAGTGACCATGCGAACGACCACACCAGCATGCTGAGCCTTGCGAACAGCCTCGGGAACACCGGGACGGACTGGGTCCTGGATACCAACGACACCAGCGAAAACGAGGTCGTGGAGAATGTCACCAAGGTCAACGTGTCCCTCAATGTCGGCGTTGACACCGTGAGGGGGCCATTGAGGGAAGTCTTGGTAGATTAGAGCGATGGTGCGAAGAGACTGCTTGGCGTAGGTGTCGATAATGCCCTCCAAACTCTGGCGGTCGGACTGCTCCAAGACAGAGGTGGAAAGGTCGATGATGTTGAGCTTCTCGTTGCAGTATCCGAGAAGAATTTCCGAGGCACCCTTGACGACCAGTCGGTAACCGGCGTTACCAGGCAGCTTGATAACAGCAGCCATACACTTCTTGCCGGAGTCGAAAGGCATGATTTGAACAACTTCCTCGTTGAAGCGGGTCTCGGCAAGCCCCTGCATACCGAGGTGATTCTTGGCGAACTGAAGCAGGGCAGTCTCGGTCTTGGAGCCGATGAAGGTGGCTTGGCCGTCCTCTTCTCCCTCGAAAGCGGTGGAGTTGATGGCGACTGACTGAACAAGGAGCTTCTTGGTGGCATCGGGGAGAGACTGGGCAAACTCCACGGCGCTGGTAACCTTCTCACCATCGGCGGACTTGCTGAAGCTGGCGGAGCCAAAGGTGCCGGCGACGACCGTCATCCTGTTGGTGGTCAAAGTACCCGTCTTGTCGGAGCAGATCGTGGTAGCGTTGCCCATTGTCTCACAGGCCCTTAGGATGCGAACCAGGTTGTTCTCCTTCAGAAGGCGTGTGGTGGCGAACGCCAAGGCCAGGGTCACCGCCAATGGAAGACCCTCGGGGACGGCAACGACAATGATGGTGATGGCCACGATAAGAATATCCATGAAGCTCGAAGCCTTCTCAGCACCACTGGCGGTGTTACCAGACAGCCCGGCGAGGAAACGGATGAGGAGAACAACGAATAGCAGGAGGGCAGCGCTGCTTCCGAGCTTGGCAATAGCCATCGCCAGACCCTCGAGTTTCTTCTGTAGAGGCGTAGCTTCCATCTCAGTGCGGACCGACATCATGATCTTTCCGAAGCTGGAGTTGGTGCCAACCGAAGTGCAAACAAAGGTGCCGACGCCCTCGAGAACCTTGGCGCCGGAGATGATGAATGGGTCGATATCCTTGGACGCGTTTCCAGACTGGAGGGCATTGAAAACGGCATCGCCGCCATTCTTCTTCAGGGCGTCGGACTCACCTGTGGCCGAGGATTCGTCGCATTTCAGGTCATGGCCACTAATGAAGATACCGTCTACTGGGACCAGGTCGCCAGGCTCTAGGTGAATGACATCGCCAACCAAGATCTCCGCAACGTTAATCATGAAGGACTTGCCCGACCGGATGACCTTGACCTCGCGGTCGTCCTTCTTGGCATTAAGCTTAACAAAGGCGCGTTCTTTTTGCCAATCGTTGAGAGATCCAACCAGCGTGACGATCAATATAGCAGCTACAATAGCGACACCTTCGACCCAGTCGACCGGCTGGCCTTCATCAGGGTCATGTTCGGCGCCAAAGGTCTCGTAGAGACCAAGCGCTAATGATATGACGGCGGCAACAGTGAGCAAAATGATGACTTTGTCGTTGTAGGCGTTCCACATCAGCCTCCACAAAGGGGTCGCCTTCTTGGCGGGGAGCACGTTTTTACCGTAAACTCGAATGCGGTCGGTGAAGCCATTACTACTGGCGTGACTTGTGGTGGCTGACGGCTGAGCACCTGTAGTGGCGAAAGTGGGCTCCTTGTGACCGGTGGCCTCTTCGAAGCTGACATGTCCTCGGACGGTCACCTCGTCCAGGGACAGGCCGGACTTGAGGTCTGTCTGCAGACCCTTTTCGATTCCGGAGAGTCCGCCGAGAGCCTGGAAGGCAAATAGAGATTTCGGGTTCAAGAGTTTGTTGAGGTGCCCTGGGCTAAATGCAAAAGGGTTGTTGGGGACGACGAAGTCGGCTTCCGTGCCGGGGTCGGGCCTTAGAGCGCTGTCTGGATCTTCGTCGACAACAGTGGAATGCATACTTGGTGCGGCACTTGTTGCCGCGCTGACAGCTGGTGTGAGGAAAGGATTGGAGTGCGTCGAGATAGGGGAGGGTACTATCGTGTCGTCGTTGTCGCTCCCGCGTTGATGGCGGGTGTCGACACGCAACGGAGGGGGGGCGAGAGACGCCATCAGCACCGGTTCAGAGATGTCTGGAGCTGATGCAGAAGTCTTCTCATGAACGAGCTCAAGTAGAATGCTGGTTTTGAGATTTGGTGGAAAGTATTAAGAAGAAACTGCCTCGTAAAAAGAGTCAAGCCAAGGACGTTGGTTGTATAGCATTGGCGAGCGGAAGGCGTTTAGAGGAGGTATGCTTGGAGGAACTCAACAAGGCAGTGTGAAGAGGCAAGAAATTGCGTGTTCCTGGTTGCGTATCTGAGGCTAGAGAAAGTGGCAGAGTCTTGTGCATACCACGGAAATGTAAAAGGTTTTACAAGCACAGGGCGTCGCAAGCCTTGATGATAGCGCGGTTACTGCGCCTTTCGCCCCGTCGAGTAGAGTTTCTAGGTTCTTCGTTTTTCTCTCGACACCGACAGTAAGCCGCGTGCCTCCTTCTTAGGGTGGAGTGTGAGACGCTTCGTTTAGGAGGCAGTGCAACGGGAAGAGTCTTAGTGGGAGGCGATGGTTTGGTCACCGTCGGGAAGCGTACGGGGCTGGTTGAAGAGTAGTGACGGATGATCAGAGTTGAGCAACCGTCATGGTTTTTCAGTCTGGGTCTCGCGAGTCAAGACCTGGGGATGAGGGAGGAGAGCTTCCAAGAGCGTTTGGATGTTTGCCGGCAAGACTTTCTAGAGCATGGCAGTGCTCACAACCACATGCCTTTCTTGGCAAGTTCAAGAGGATATGAAGTCAATCGAGATCCACTGGCAGCCGATAATGGATTGGCTGGATCGGACAAAATGATAGGGAGAGAGAGAGGGGGGGTGGGAGAAAGTCGCGCTTCAGTCGACTATTACTCCGTACACAGCAGTCTCAATGGCGAATCTTGGCGGGGATGCAGGACTAACTAAGACTGCAACGAGAACGAAAAGTCTGGCACGAGGTGACCAAGAAGGGAAGGAGGCCAAGGAGACGGGGAGCCCAGATGGAGAGACAGAGGGGGTCGGACATGCCGGGAAATGCCTCTCATGCTCTCATCTTGGCCTTTGATTAGCAAGATTAGCTGGGCGAGGAGGTGAGAGGGAGGTAACCGCCCAAAGCCTGGGCATTGAGGCTGTGCACGAGGGAAAAAGGTGCAAAAGGTCCCCCCGATGGGGGAATTAAATTGGAGCATCAAGAAGCGAGCTCTGCTAAGCGGCAGCGGGGACAATCCTAGAAAACTGCTGTGCAACGACACAACGAGAAACAAGGGGCAGGATGGAGACTTGACAGCGAGCAACGGCCGCTTGGCAATTCCAATGTTTGAACCTTGGCGTTCTGTTGATGCAAGTGCCGGGCCCTTGTCACGTTTTGTCCCAGAGCTCCAAGGGCCGCAATGCGCGCATATATCCGTACATTGGTTAAATGGGGCGGCCAACCGAGGACAGGAAGCAATTATGAACTGGCCAGAACTGTAACTTGCAGACCACTCTAGACCGAGGGCCGCCCCGGCGCGCCATAGACGGACATGGCGCCCGAGAGATTGAATGGCGGCCCCATCGTTCTGGTAGCCCGTGTCCCACTCGGGCGGGTGTACGCACCAGTACGGGCAGATAGGAGACACCTCGTGGACACCGTAAGTATCCATGCGGTTCCGGTTCGGACCGGTCACCGGCGGTGACTGGTGCACTCCTGATACCTGTGACGTGACTCGAGACAATCGCCAAGGGGTAGGGATGCAGACTGGCACTCGGTTTTTCTTCTCCGGCGAACGGTCAAGTGGCCGTGGCTCCCAAAGCGCAGCAGGCGACCGTGAAGGCTTCATCAACTATGAGTGTTACCCGAATGGTGGATAATCCGACGGGTACGCCGACAGAGCACGTTGGCATGTGGGACGACTCTCAGAAGAGATTCACAGAAGGTTTGGGTTGGAAAATGTCGATGGCCCGAAGGATGATGGATCGGGGTCATACCTTGTTGGCAATGACCTCGGGACACGACAATGTCTGTCGAATTTGGGGTGTGGAAGCACGATGAACGGGCTCAGTGACGTCGGCGTCGGTCCATGCCTGGGCGTTTGATATTCTGTCATCCAGTCTCGAGGTGAATGCGCCTGGCGCCATCTGCGGTCGGATTGAAACTTGACATGATCCGGAGAAGCAATAGCATGCAGACCGAAAGCGATAAGGTCTTGGCCACTGCCGGTGGTGGAGGTGAACAGAGATGATGGCATGGATGTTGGCATGGATGTTGGCATGGATGTTGGCATGGAGAGGGTCGAAACAAAGGTGGAGAAGGGAGATGAGAGAAATATCGAAACGGAGAAGACGGAGTAATATCTACCCGCAGAGTGACAGAGAAACTGCATGGCAAAACTCGACAGCACCTCCCATGAGGCAAAAGAGGCTTCCAGAGGAGGAAAGGGCGGTCGGGATCATGAGAAGGAAGGGAGAAAAAAAAGTCCCACAGTCGAATCAAGCTCGGAGAGAGACCTGGTGTGGCTTCACTAGTCAGCGCCAAGAGTGGCTGTGACCTCCACGTTCCAAGTGCTTCATTGGCTCGCTTAGCAATGCAGAGTGCTATGTACAGGCATGAGAGACCCACATTTCCAAGTAAGCGACTTTAGGCAGACAGGGGCTGCACGTAGCTCCTTCCCGGCACTTGGTGGAAGCTGCACCTGCCCTCTTCTGGAATACTTCCGGGGATCTTCCGACATTGCTGACCAATGAAATTCCCCGGATCCCATCGAGCCTCCTGCTGCCACTTTCCCCACATCGCTCATCTCATCCGATCTAGTCCTCTTCTTCATGTTCTCGTCTCGTTTTGATGCACCACAACCACACGATCAAACTCCAGTCCAAACATCAGCCATCCTGGTATGGTATATCCCCAGACAACAACAAACGGATGGTCTTATACTAGACGGTAGTCCACTTGGGCATTTGGAGGGAAGGGGCGGAGGAGGGCTTCTGCCAAAGCACCTCTCTGACTGCTTTGATTGCAACTTCGCAATGCAAAACAGCCAAGAATCAACAGCCTCAGAGTCAGCTTAACGCAGGCTAATATAGCCGACATTGCCCAGTGGGCTACGACATCTCCATCATAGATGGCAACATGGCACTCAGCTCGTTCCTCTTCAAGATTGCATCACAGGGAGGTGCCATGTCCGGCTTCTGGGTCAACTACGCTGCGTACCAAACCATGCCCGACTCGCTTCCTGATCGCAATGTGCTGTCCTTTTCGGCCTTCAGTTATCTGCTTGGGATTCTTCTCTTCTTCGCTATAATTACCTATCCTGGGTCGTCGCGTTGATCGGCAAAGAACGACAGATGGGCAGATGCCGAGGATGTCCTGGTCCACATCCGCACACTGTCTGTGGACCACGACTATGGGAAACGAGATAAGCGATATCAGGCGCCGAGTGGAAGATAGCAGCGCCAACCCCATGACCAAGATGCAAATGTCCAATCGCCTCCTCGAGGAAAGCTCTCGCAACCGGATCGACGTTTGGCCTGCTTCTCTCGTGGCCTGCCGAAACTTGATGCGTTCATGTCAGCTTCGTCTCGAATGTGGCACGTGCTGTTATCCAATTTGTAGACGGGCGTCAACATCATCACATATAGTACGCCACTATTCGCCCGAAATGTAGCTTCATTGCGCTGACCTGCGGTCTAGACTCGCCTCGCATCTTCGAGACCCTTGGCGTCACAGACACCAAGTTTCTCACCACTGGCTTCTACGGCATTGCCAAGACCCTCAGTATGGTCATCTTCTCCGTCTGGCTCACTGGGAAGGTCGGTCGCCGCAACCGTCTCATAGGATCTCCCCCAACGTGGTACATCAGTGGTTACATCTTCCGGGTTCGCATCATTCCGCCTGATTTAAGCAGCCCCTTTTTAAAACTTGTTGCTGACAGCCTGTTTTTGCCGGCCAGGCCGCCGCAGGCAACACCGTGATGCTGTGCGTGTATCGATCGCTACGGTTTGGTCTACTGCACCATCTGGTGAGATACTCTTCTTGCACTACCGGTTATGATTGCCATGCTAACAGTGCCTCGAAGGGATTACGTGAAACTACTGAAATGGAGCTTCAGCTTGGACATCCGCATTCTGTGCGTGGCCATCACGAATACGGATCAATGGCTATGGAGCTTTGTTGCCTCACCGACTACGCTATACATGATTACGTCGCTGGGGTACGGCCTACAAACTTTTCGGGACCCTCATGGTTATGATGGGTATCTGGGCTTGCTTCTTTGTGCCCGAGACCAAAGGCATGTCCAAATCATCCCCGGAACTTCCCCCGGCCGAATACCTTCGCATCACCCTGTGGCTGACACCGTCGCCCGTCTCGCAGGTCTCATGATCGAGGATATGGATCTCTCCTCTTCATATGCAACATACAAAAATCCGTATGGACCGCGCTGCGCGAGCAGAAGAGCGCCAAGCATGTCTTGGCGGACACATCGCCCTCAGCCGCCCGAGCGCCTTCTTCGGATAGGGGAATTGGGCTGGAATAAGTGGACACGGTAGAGGAAAAGTCTACTGCGAGGCAATCGGCCCGGAGGGTCTAAGTGCTGGTTGTTGATTCAGAGTCGGGACAGGCGGCCTCCTTGCGCCGCGGCAATTTCATGTCGTGTCGCTCCGGTGGTACATTATTGTGGGAGATGCGAGGCATGCAAGGTGAACGCCAAGACCCATAGTTGTCGAGCACTGCCCGCCTAAATTGCACTGCCACTGCAAGATGACGTAGAATATCTCGGGGTCATATTATCAGTTTACTTTCTGCGGCTTTCATGCCTGGTAATGGGTGCTTCTGTGACATGTCTGTGGTACATTGAGAAATATACTCACAACCTGGGGTAGTGCCAAGCGTCATATCAGCGAGGCGCAGCTAGATGACCACTGCAAGTTCGAGCGCCCAACTGTTGGCCCATACTGCGATGCTTTTCAGTAAGAAAATCGCGCGTCGACAATTGATGAGGAAAATCGTCTGCGGAGACAAAATTGTGTCGACTTTGAACGAGCCCGCCTCGGGATTCGTATCAAGATACGTCTATTCAAGGCCAAAGTCATAGGACCCTTGCTCAACTATTCGACAGACTCATGTGATTGGCCAACTTCATGGAAACCGACTTCATTCGGCCAAGTCACGCCTTAGTGAAATGGCATCCGATAAAAGCCCGACTAGCCCAGAGAGGCTGAGTGCCATCTTGTCAGGTGCCAGAGGTAGGGGGCACCAGGGGACCACCAGCTGTAGGGCTATAACTAGGAAAACTATTATCTAAGGGTTATATAAAAGCAGAGTTTATAGGAACAGGAGAATTAGGAAAAAGTAGATTAAAAAATAGTTATAATTAACCTTTAACTACACTATTTATAGACTTCTCTACTTAGTACTATAACTCTTTTAATATATTCTAATCTTTATTTATCCTTAGGTATATTAACTATTAGAGCTATAATATTACCTTTTAATACTTAAGCTACTACTTAGTAAAGTATAAGTGTTACCTTTAGGTAACTAACCTTAGACAGCAGTAATACCTAGGCGTAGGTAGAAAATAAAGGCCTACTAGTATAATAATAGCTCTAAAGTAACCTTAAAAAGATAATAAAAAAGAAGCTTAAGTACTTCCTAAAGAAGTAAATAAAAAAAGCTAAAAAAAAAATAGTTAACTAGATTTTAGCTTTAATAAATAAAGCCTTTATTAAAGAGGTATATAATATACTAGGCCTAGTTACTACTTTTTAGCTAAAGTATAAGTATTACTATATTAATATATTATTAAAGTAGTTATTTTTAATCTAATATAAGGGAAATATATAAAATAACCTTTAGGACTTTTTATTTAAGCTAAAGGAATAGTTTAAAGTTATAAAAAAAGAATTTAAAGATAACTAAAGTAAAATATAGTACACTAGCTTTATACTAGAGAGTAACCTAGTATATAAGTAGTAGAAGTATATTAAAGCCTACTATAATAGCTAGATAAAAAAAGTAACCTAGGAGGTAATAAAGACCTAGTTAAAGAATAATATTACTAATACTAATATATAAGCCTTTAGTATAATAGTAAAGCTTAATAATATAAAGTAAAAAGTTAACTAGTTATATTAGTAATTTATTAATAAGTATAAGACTATTAAGGTAAAGTACTTTAACTTATAAGCTAAAAGGTAATAGGTAGTCTATATACTTAACTAGTTACTACCTAATCTAAAGAGCTATATATTAGCCTAAAAGATACTAAAGATATAATAAGCCTTTAATAATACTATATAATAGGCTAAGATATTAGCTAAAGCCTATACTAAGAATAAACTAGTAGACTAGTAAAAGTAGAATTAGAAATAAAGGGACTAGTAGGCCTTAGCTATACTACTAAGTCCTAATATAAGGGTCCTTATAATAGAGCCTTAGTCTATATACTTTATATTTATACCTATAATAACCTAGGGTATATTAATACTAACGCTAAAGGCCTTAAGGGTAAAAAAAAAGAGAGGTAACTACTTACCTTTAACTAAGCTATAGTACTTTTTAACTTACTTTAACTATAGTAAGCTAAGGTATTTATTAGTTAGCTATACTAAAGAAAAGTACTATAAGTATAGTTAGTCTAGACACTTAGGTAAATAGTATATAATAAAGATAATAAAGGTTAATATTATCTAATTACCTTAAAAAAAAAGGCTATACTACTAATTTAAGGTAGACTTTTATACTAGGATAAGTAGTATATAAAGAAAAAAGAGAATATTAATTAACCTAAAGGTAAATAAAAACCTTATATACTAACGTATATATATAGTAAGTAGTGTATTATAGTAAGTAGTATATATCTACCTACCTTTTTATCTTTTTAATAACTTAATTTAACTAGATTATATAAAATTAATTAAAAATATATATTACTTTATTCTTTATTAGTATCCTAAACTACCTTATAGGTTTATGCGTTATATCTAGTCTTCTTATAATTACTATATTATTATGCAAGTGGTTTACTACTCTCTATATAACCCCCCTTTTAAGATATTTCCTTACCTCTAGCTTTAATAATGTCCTTTTCTCCTTATAGTACCTCTACTTTAGCTATATTAAGTGATCCTCTAAGACATAGTTAGGTCTTTTTAGCCCTCTAGCGCTTACTAAGTACCTTTATCCCTATATAAAGTTAATAGTTCTCTGCCTTAATAATAGTAAGTTAATATACTAACTTGCTAATACCTTTTAACTATAAGTTAATTACCTTATATATTAGTGTTAGTAAACTTCCTTAATAATCCCTAATCCTTTTTTTTAATAAGGTAGAGCTTTATACGCCTTTAATTACTGTTGTTAGTGTCTTTAGGTCCTATAAGCCTAAGCTAGTTAGACATAAGTTAACTAGTGTTAGTGTCTTTAGCTTAAAATCTAGGCAAAAAATAATAACTTTAGGATTAAAAGGTATAAGACTAGCCTATTAAAAACCTACTTATATATTTATTTTACTTATTAAAGTAAAGAATACTACTTTAAAGGTAAGAAAAAAGTTATCCTTAGTAATATATATAATTTATATCTATATTATTTTCTTAATTTCTTTACTATATAAGTGCTTTAAAGGGCTAAAATAGCTAATATTAAGAGGCTAAAGCTTATATAATAAATAGGGAGGCATATATAAAGTAATAATACCTTCTTTAGTACAGTAGTTATTAAATTTAGTTAATTTATAGCTATTATAGCTATCTAGGATTAGAAGGTAATAAGTACCCTTTATATAAGACTTTATATACTAATTAAAGTGCTTTAGCTAATCTAGGCTAATCTTGTTTATAGTCTATCTGTTTTTACTTAGGTAAATATACTATATAGCTAGAAATTTACTATTAAGGTACTATAATAGAAGGTAATATTTACCTTTTATAATAATATATAAAGGTATTACCTAGCTATCTATATATATACCTTAAATAATAAAAACCTATTTATAATTACTAGGCTACTTTATATAAGGCCTTTTATATTAGTTAGAAGTTATAATAACTTTTGTGTATAATAGTATTCCTATTAGGAACCTAGTCTTATTAAAATTATAGATATTATAATCCTGTATTCTGTACTTTATAATTATATTTTACATAAGTGTAAACTAGCCTTGTATAATTACAAGATCCTTAGCTAAGGCCCTCTAATAGTTAATTTAACGTTAAAATTATATTTTTAATTAGGGTTATTATTATATAAAGTTCTCTGCCTATTAGGGTCTAATATATGTCCTGTTGTATACGTTAAGGAGTTAATTAGCTATATCTTATATATCTTCTTATTATAGAGGAAATCCTTAATTAATTAGGTTAATAACCTTTTTAAGAATTACCTCCTCTTTAGATATAGTTATCTTTATTAATTTTAAACATGTCTTAGCTTATGCAACTTTTCTAGCGCGTTAATAACAAAGTGTGGTTTTAGGTATATTATAGATAGAGGCTACTTTTTATATAGATAGATTTTAGTCTTTTTAGATAGCTGTAATTATAAGGATGATTTGGCTTTCTTAAGAAGAGGATTCTATTATTGTATATAAAGAAAGGTTAATATAAGGATAAAGCTAGTAGAAATAAGGTAGACATGCGCCACTTACTATAATATACTACTTACTATATATATACGTTAAAGGATATTATATATAAAGAGGCTACTAGTAGTTTATAAGGAAAGACTACTACTATAAGGTATATAAAAAAGTAAGGCCTTAGACTATAGTTTAAAGAAGATAGTATTAAAAGTAAAAGATAATATTAAAATATTAAAGATATAAAGCTATACTTTATAAGTAAGTAATATAAGGGGATATAATACTATCCTAGGGATCCCTTAGGGGTAAGTAGTAAAGCTTAACCTTAAGTAAAAAATAATTAGCTAGACTTATTTACTAAGTAAAGACTATATTTAACTTATATAAAGCTAAAAGGTAGTTAAGAAAGCCCTAAAGGATACTAAGGTAGTCCTTATAGACCTCCTTATAATTTAACACCTAGGGTATAGGACACTAGAGGGGGCACTAAAGATACTTATTTATATACTAAAGGATAAAGAGGCTAGTAAGGCTAGTAGCATAAAGGCTATAATACTAAGAGAATATAGAGAATAGGCCTATATATTTAATATAGACCTAGTAGTAAAACTAGTAAAGGATAATATATAGATATATATAATAGAATTAGAACTAGGTATAGTACTACT